CTGTCTTTCAACATTTTCGATTTCTCAAAATTTTCAATTTCTCAACTTTTCAACCTTTTGGTCTTGCTAAATCACATTTTGCCTCAAACACCCAATATCTCAAAGATCATATTTTTCAGCTTTTCTGAACATGAACATCTCATACTTTTTCTTATTCAAGTTTTCCAATTTTCTCCATAAGAATTAATGTTCTACTTCTCAACTTTTCAACATATCATATTTCAACTCATGCTTTTATCATATCTCAAGTGTTTTTGTATAACAGATTCATGATATAGGTAATATTATTATGATGGTTATCAGACAAATATATTATAACTAGCTGTACCCTGGGCGCGTTGGTTCGCCATCAACTAAAATAAATTTAAAGGAAAGACATTACACAAATATTCAATTTATTTTGAGTCATCAAATCATCGAAATCGGTCGTGCCGTTAACGATTATATAACGGACATATAGACAAACATGGGAACATTATCACAAAACCCGTCCGCCATATTGGATGCGCCATTTTGAATTTTCTTATTTTGACGACGAAATCATTATCTCCGACCCCAAAAACCCTCAGATACCAATTTTGAATAGAATCGGTCCATAATTACAAAACTCGTCCGCCATATTGGATTCGTCATCTTGAATTTCCTAATTTTGACGAAAGAATCATAATCTCCGACCCTGAAAACCCCTAGATACCAATTTTCAATTGAATCTACTCATAATTAAAAAACTCGTCTGCCATAAGGGATCCGCCATTTTGAATTTCCTAATTTTAACGACGGAATCATAATCTCCGACTCCAAAAAACCCCTAGATACAAATTTTCAATAGAATCGGTCAATAATCACAAAACTCATCCGCCATATTGAATCCGCCATTTTGACTTTCCTAATTCTGACGAAAGAATCATAATCTCCGACCCCGAAAACCCCCAGCTACCAATTTTGAATAAAATCGGTCCATAATTACAAAACTCGTCTGCCATATTTGATTTTTTCAATTTTTGCCATATTTGATTTTCTCAATTTTTTTTCTACCTATATCATCCCTGAACTATAACGGAATAAACAAAAAAAAATTATCCAAATCAGTCGAGCAGTTTACGATTTTATCGAGGACATACAGACAGACAGACAAACATTCATTTTTATAGAGAAGATGCAGAATAATTATTTTTATTCTGATCTGATTTTTTATCCAAGAATGGTAATAAGAGTGTATGCCACATTCTGGCAACGCTGTCACGCGTAGCCGGTTTCGAGGGTGCACGGCGCTATAAATAGACCACAGACTGCCTGGACCTCGGATGAATTATTCGCACCAAGGATACTGGAGACATCTGTGTATGTTCTGTTTCACTAATTTCAGTGTTGACCAAATCCCCATTCACGGTGTATATCTAGGGGAGTCGTTAATCTATGGTAGTGGTAACTGGCATGCTCGGGGTGACTCCCTGGGACATACAAAAATAATCAGCCTAGTTTCAAGCCCACTTATGTAAATGGGAACTGACAAAATGCTGCCTAGAAATAACTATTACAGACCCTTCAACACTCAGCTCTACTGGGATGAAATGGTCTTGACTAACTGTCAGGAAGGCACGTTAGTGTGGTACACTGACGGTTCTGAGACTGATGAGGGTACAGGAGCCAGAATATATGGAGATAGACCCAGAACCAGGATTTGTGCTTCCTTGGGGAGGTATGTTTCAGTATTCCAGGCAGAGGTGCATGCTATTGAGGCATGCCTGAGAGAGAATATTGTAAGAGGATACAGAGGTAAACAAATCCTCATATGCTCAGATAGTCAGGCGGCCATTCAATCTTTAACATGCAATAAAATCAGATCAAAACTGGTCTGGGATTGCCTACAAAGCCTGCTGACCCTGACTAACCACAACTAGGTAACTCTTCAATGGGTGCCAGGGCATAAGGGAAATGGAGGCAATGAAGCAGCTGACGCTCTTGCCAGGCAAGGGTCTGCGGCGTTGTTTATGGGACCGGAACCTGTGTTCGATATCCCCAAAACCTCAATACGCGGCTGGCTGGCAAGGTGGATGCAAGAAAGACATCAGGCATACTGGAACAATGTCCCAGGACAAAGACACAGTAAACTGATGGTTGGAACACTGTCCAAAACAGTGACTAAGGATATTCTGAGCCTAAACAGAAGTCAGATCAGACAAGTGACGGGACTAATAAACGGTCACTGCCCCTTGAGGAAACATATGCATCAAATGGGCATCTATACAGACGAACCCATATGCAGACTATGCAATGAGGAGGAGGAGGAAACTGCCACCCAATATTGGAGTGCGAAGCACTAGCGCGTTGGAGATACAACCTTCTGGGAGCAGTAAAATCTCAAGAGGCCTTTTCGCAGAATGATTTGGTGATGAGGCTGCTAAACCTTATCAAGGTAGCGAACCTGTTCACCTAATTCAACAGCATGAACAGGAATACAATAGGCCCAAAGGCTGCAGTGTTTTGGGCTTCGAACCCTGACTGATCATTCTGCTATTAATCAATCAGTCAATCAATCAATCAATAGTAATTGGCATGTATATAGTTTTCGAACTAGTATAATACTACCGAGATTTTAACTTAATGTCGAGCACTATAACCTATCATAATTATTGGGACATTTTGGTAGGTACTTGATAAAAACAACGTCAGACGGTTCGAACTACTTGCGTCATTGATAGATATTAGTAGAGTGAGCATCGAACAGTTCAGCATACGAAACAGAACAGAATTATTCATATTCATCAATACCAAGCAGTGGCGTCACTTCTTTAATCAACTTTTTGGATATTTCTATTGAAATCCAACACTCACCTATCACCCCACTTCTTTTGATCCATGACTTATGGGCTTATGGGACACCCTGTATAATATTAGCTATAGGTAAGCACAAAAATTGAGGAATATAAAAAAATATGTACTGTAGATACACGCATAGATCAGAAGGACTGCAACGAATGACTTGTTTTTCAATTGGGTACAGCAACTGTGCGAAGCATAGCTAGTACTTGGCCCTGCAGTGATAACCTGCGGTCTCTCAGACCGACTAGAAATGCTTTTTTGAAATTTGGAGCTATCGCGCCCCTTCAACCAAAAAGCGCTAGCGTTAGCAGGAAGCTAGTAGTTAGTGGTTTCGGACAGTCAGAAGGACGTCACCAGTGATGTAACAAATCTGCTACTTAGATATTTCTTGTTTTAATTCATTTTATGAGAGATTGAGCGTATTCAATCGGAGCTATATATTTTCATACAAATGAAATATCATTTCTAACAGAAATCATCCATATATTAGGAGCAGAACAACGAAAACTTCTTCATCCTATGATAACATATTTATGACGGATGAAGAGGATCTTGAATGGAATTGTATTTTTTTAATAGTTTAATCTGCTTTCCAATTAGGTTTCCTTCGAGCAGAATCATATAAACTGATTATATATATTTTTATTTTATCGCTTGGAGCGCACGAAAGGGAATCCCTATAATGTTCAAAGAACATCGTGCGTTCCTAGGGAGGATAGGGATAGGAGGTAGGTATTGGAATTTCTTTTGAACTTCTGGAGATTATATTATATATTTTTTTTATCACAGAAAAAAATTGAATGTCTCTCATACCGACGTCACCACTCATGTTTCGTATAAAACCACGTCAGCACTGAAGGGTTAATAGTAGATTGTTTTATTAGGATCAAAAGTGACACTTTGTTTGACAAGCGAATTTTGCATTTGCGAGGCGGAGCGTTTAGCGAAGCCGAGCGAAAGCAAAATTTGCGAGTCGAACAAAGTCACTTTTGATCCGAATGAAACATGCTATTTTTTCTGCAACCGAACAATTAACTCAAATAAACATGTGAAGTAACCACCAATGCTGTGCCATATGTATGCAATGCAACAAATATTGACAAATAATCCATGTGGTGAGAATATTCTACCTACATTAACAGCAGGTTAAGGTTTTCTAGGATGTTCGGATTGTAGTTTCAATATAAATACAACCACAGAGTGACATATTTGTGTATGAGCCAGGTGCTCTAATGGCAAATACCGCGCCAGTGCCAGCTATTAGGAACAAGATGTGGAAAATGTTAGGTTAGTGAGCATATCAACAATGATAATAGTGATTATTTTAATCCTCTCCATACTACACTGTGGTTGACTTGATAATGAAATGAAGCTAAACAATATCGTTGTTTGAGACGAAAAACTATTGCTTGCCGTGATTATTCAAAAACAAGTTATCCATCCCGAGAATAACGAATGAAATACAGATCAAGCAAGTATTTGAATCTTGAAGGCTTCCCTGATCATGCAAAAATACTTAGCTGAGATGTTTATAATTCCAATACTAAACTATAATAAGGTGTATTTATATCTCCAGCATGGGTATGAAATGCCAAATCTGCTGAAATCGGAAATAAATCAGGTATGCGTCTCAACCCAAATAACCAACCATCACAATGTTGTTTATTCTTGATGACGTCCAGTAGATCCTTTTTAGTTCCTAGGAGCTAAAGTTCAACTTTAGCTCCTAGGAACTAAAATTCAACTTTAGCTCCTAGGAACTAAATATGTTGCCTAGCAACATACCTATTTTTGTGTCAGTAATAGAAACGTCAATTTAAGAGCTAATTTTGGTATCAAAATGGACGACTTTTGTGTCGGTTGCAGAAAAATGAAATTCAAGATGCGAGACAAGTGTTCTTCATAGAAAACAAGATGAAGTTTTTCGTAACTGAGGGATATGAACCTAATAGGAAAATGTTCATCATCATATGACCTGATGGTAGTTTATGTATCTGTGAATGTACAGTGACTACAGGTTAGGGCCTCCAAAAGTCATCAGCCCAGGGCCTCAAAATCTACCGGTTCACCTCTGGATGCATCACCTCGTTTTTTATTCATGACACAGTTTCAATGTTTTTTGACGAAACACTTCAACTTATGCATATATCAGTACTAATTCATGGATTTCTTTTCAGCCACCAGTGAAAAACTCCAAATGGTCCGGTATACTGGATGCTACGAAAGATAAGAGCCAGTGTGTCCAGGGATACAATCCTGTTGTCGGTAGAGAAGATTGTCTCTACATAAATGTGTACACACCCACTGTAAGTAACTATGAAAATAAGACCAACAGGGTCATTCAAAATAATTTCCATCCACCCCGAAAATGGAACACCCTATATATCGTAAAATTTTTGGATTCCAAAGGAAATTTCACATCACTAAAGTTTGATCAACCAGATTGTTTTTCTTTTTGAGGAATCACCATACCCTATAGCGCACACAACCTCCCTAGGGACGTCCCTTTTCTGGTACGATTATTCAAGTCCGAATGTCCTGGACTTGAATTAATTGTCATTAGGACGTCTCATCCCGTGAGTCTAATTTTATGTCCAAGCAAGGACGTCCATGAAATGTCCGAGCTGTTGCATCATTTCAAATGTCCTAGAAATATCATCTGTTAGACGTTCCACGTGGTACATATTATAGACTGTTCATGCAAGGACGTCCTCAGCATGTCCCTGATGGAATATAATTTCGAACGTTCCTTTAGGAACATCCATGGGATGTCCCAAGTAGTACACTTCCTGAAATGACTTCAGTTCTTATATAATGTCCCTTCTAGAACAACCATGAAATATCCCAGACGGTACATTTCTTCAAATATATCTGTACGAAGGCCCTCAATATATCCAGGATCGTATAATCCATAATAATGTGCATCTGAGTAAGTACAAGCAAATCCTTTAGGGAATATCATTCCATAAGATGTCATGACTAAAACCTCTTATGGACGTCCTCAGGGATACCAATGGGTGGTATCAGGACTTCAGATAGACATCCTAGGACATCTTTGGAACCTTCTGAAGGATCTATTGAGGACCTTTTACGGACCATCAACTCAGCTGGATATTCTCATCCGTTATGCAAGATCTGGTCCTAGGATGACTCGAATAAATTCAAAGTCATGATTAATTCGTGTGTCCAGGGACATCCTATGAACATTCCAGACGACGTCCTATGGAAGTAATAGGGACCTTCTATGATCGTTGTAGAGGACGTCTCATGGAGTTTTCAGAGGACGTCCTCTGGACATTCCTGAGGACGTTTTGGAGGATGTCCTATGAATGTTTAATGAACTTTTTGAAAGGACATCCATTGTATGATTTCTCAAAGAGGTCCAATGTTCATCCTTGAGAAATATCCTTTTGTGAACACATGTCCTATGGACGTCCCAAATATCCCAAAGGACAATAGTTCATTGTACCAGTATTCCACCTGACGAATATACTGTGTTAGCGAAACATGTCGTGTGACTGAGAATTTTGTGGAAAACTCATCTTCGTGAAGTTTTTAGATTGGATTTAGATTGACGTCACGTCATTTTTCGAGTTGCTCTCGACGAGCCCTTTCATTTGATACCCATATTGTAGAATAAGAAGATTGAAAATAACTATTCCGTCATCTTGGATGATCCATCATATTAGTTTTAGAATGACGTCACATTAGTTTTCGAGTCACTCTCAACAAGCCCATTTATTTGATACCCATATTGTGGAAGTGCATTAAAAATCACTATTCCGCCATCTTGGATGGTCCGCCACCTTGGAAGAATATCGATACATATGTTCCCTTGATATATAAATAGCTATCAAAAACTAGGCAGCACAGTGCAATGGTTGAGAGCTAGTCTAGCAATCAAAACACCGAAAAGTTGTTAGGTTCAATTCCCCGGAAGATCAGAGAATTTGTATTCATAATACGTGTTATATATTCTAATGGGCGTGTACAGTACACCTTAGAAGAACTTTTAACTCAAAACATGTTCATAATGATCCTTTCATACATAAATAATGATTGACGACATAATTCGATCGAAAAATTAACTGGAATGTTTCATTTTTGGACATAAATATTAGTACCTTCTGAAAACGGACCCTCTTATAACGTAGAAACCTCATCTCGCCAGAGTTGAAAGAAAATACCAAACGCTCGACGGGGACTGAGGCAACTGGTATATTGATTCTTTCAACTGTGATCTCGCGCTAATTCACTTTGTCAGAAATGATGTAGCATTCATCTCTGTCTGGAATAGTCTTGTTTCAGTATTAGGGTTTTGACGTCACATCATCGCCTCGTTTTCAGAGGTCCGAAATAATTTTTTATAAAACGTAGGGAGCTCACAGTAAGAAACGGTTTGCGGTGGTGAGCTAGTTTGGGTGAGTTCTATCGAATTATGAAATGAACTTTCTTTGTGATATACAGTGTGTCCACCTTAAGGACTTACCACCCCTGTAAAATCGTTATTATCCGACCAATTTCAAAAAACCTTTTTTTGTTGGATAGGTATTTGAAATGCCCATCCAACGAGGGAGTGATCTAATTCTTGGACTGTTATCGTGGCCAACTGCGACAAATTTCAATGACCCATATTCCAGAAAGTACTATTAGGGATTTTTTTCTACGAAACTTGATGATGGATTCTGAATCAGTACCACTTGAAATATACCTGTACCGATTTTCATCATCATAAAACACAGGGTGTCCGAAAAAACGAATCATCATTATCTTCAAATAGGTGATCAGCAAATATAGTTCTGTGGTTTTTCTAGAAAGAAATAATCACAAATTATCATTGAGGATTATTTCAAATATACCTGTACCAATTTTCGTCATTTGAATATACAATGTGTATGAGAAAAAAATTAAAAAGGATAGGTTAGCAATATTTTTCATCCTGATAATTCTTCACTCAAAACTAAAGATGAATCAGGATCACTTGGAACATACCTGCACCGATTTTCATCATCATTAAACACAGGGCGTTCGAAAAACAAATTAATATTTTTTTTGAGTTGATGAAAAAATATTGCCTACTTTTTCTTTTTAATTGTTTTTTCATACACATCGTATTTTTGAATGATGAAAATCGGTACAGATGTTCAAAGTGATCCTCAATAATAATGTGTCATCAATTCTTCTCAAAAATACCACAATACTACATTTTCTGATCGCACCTATTAAAAAAAACAATTCGTTTTTTCGGACACCCTGTGTTTTATGATGATAAAAATCAGTGAAGGTGTTTTTCAAGTGATCGTGATTCAGAATCCATCATTGTTTTTTGTGAAAAAAATCCCTAATAGTACTTTCTCAAATATGGGTCAATAAAGTTGGTCGCAGTTGGCCACCATTACAGTTCATGAGTAAAATCACTCTCTTGTTGGATGGACATTTCAAATACCTATCCAACAAAAAAAAAATTTTTGGAATCGGTCAGATAATAATAATTTTACAGGGGTGGTAATTCCTTAAGGTGGACACACTGTAGATAAGATATTATCGAAGTCTCGGCCAGAGATGATTCCGCACGATTCACTGTTGCGTTCCAATTAACAGTGCTGCTCTTAAAGTGGCGGAGCACACATGAGCTGAAGTTCCTCTCGTGAGGTCGATGGCCAGTTAATATGTACATACATTCTAACGAAGTGCAGACGAGCTATGTATAAAAAATCTGAAAAAAAAATATCGGTAAACTTAACGTGAGTCGGTTCGTTGAAAATATTGCTCGAAAATAATAACTTTCATTATAGGCTCGTGGTATAATCTACTGATTAGCAACTGAAAGCGATCCACTTTACCAAGGAAACATCAAGGCCGCTTTCATTTTTCATTTGCTTTCAGATAAGTCTTTCACAACTTCACAACTCATGTAGGTATATCTTAATTAGCTGTTATGAATTGTATAGGTCGGTTACTATAACCACCTATAACCGACATGAGCATTATCATTTGAGCAATTGATAAAATTATAATTTTGTCTAATGTTGTGTTAATATATCTCATGTTGCATTGCATAATTATTCAGATGACTGATTTCTGTCGGTGGATAATCAAAAATCGTAAGTAAAATTTCATTTTGTATTGAAATACAGTGCAGATATTCATGACATTCAGTTTCAAATCCCTTTCAGTAAATTTCGGTTATTTCTCATCTATACAGTGTGTCCCACTTACCATGCTCACCATGGGTATCTTTTTAACGGTGAGAGATACGAGGTCGGTTAAATGACACCAAATGTGGAGTTTGTCAAGGCCAACTATGATTTGAAAAAATATCTTGATAAAATCTATTCGTTTTTGTTTTATACGCAAAAAAACAGATTTTGATCATTTTCATGTCTCCTCCGTAACTTCTTTATTTATGAAAATATTCAAATAGGAATTTCACATTCTCATGGCAGTTTTTCAAAGTAATTTCGAAAAAAATATGAAATTTATACCAACTCTTCTAGAATTTGAGATATCAGCACCAACTTTAATTTTTCAAATGTAGGTCATAGCTCAATATGACTTAGTTACAAATAACTTTTTTTTCTCTTACAGATGATGTGTCGCAGTAATAGTTTTGTGTTGACAACAACGGAGTTATCGTCATTTATACAAATACAAAAAATTATTTGGACGCCGCCATCTTGAATTTATAAATTTTAACGAAAAAATCATGATCTCCGACCTCAAAAACCCCCACTTACCAATTTTGAATGTAATCGGACCAAATCTTGTCCGCCATCTTGGAGCAGCCATTTTTTTTAATTTCAGCGAAAATTCCATAACTCCGATTAACTTGAAATTTGGCAGGTGTTCATAATTTCGGTGAAAATTCATTATGGAATTTTTGTTGAAATAAAAAAAAATGGCTGCTCCAAGATCTTCGCGCATCTTTGTTTCAGCTGGAAAAGAAAAATCTAGCTGTCCTCGTTTGGATATACGGGGGCGGATTTGCGATGGGCAACTCTTCGTATGTTACTTATGGACCGGACTATCTTTTGGACGAAGACGTCGTTTTTGTCGATTTCAACTACCGGACAGGTTCTTTTGGTTTTCTGAGCACGCAGGACTTGGTGTGTCCTGGCAATAATGGTTAGTAGTATATAACTTTCCTCTGATAAACAAAAGAAAATTATGAAACTAATACGATCATTGGTTATCCCCTTTTTCAAAATCGAATGATGTGAAAAGTGAAAGTACTAGGGTCGATTCTATGTTATAGCGAAAATCTATTGAAATGTGTATGAATATGATATAAGAGAGAGCTCTCGTGACTATTCTATAGGTTATATTCGGGGTAATATTAGTGGGAAGCAGTCGTTATGACGAATATAGCAGTTAGATTTATTCGTTTTATCTGTCGAGCTTTCGAAAATGCTCATTTTCTTCATCAAGACTTACTAAATCATCGAATGATGTAATGTAGAATAACAAGAGATGTAAAACTACAAGTGAGGTACGTAGTTTTTGAAAGGTATCAGATTAGTATAGATGTAGTTTTCATTAGGTATTAGATTAGTATAGAGGTCAGATAATTTATACGACGCTATAAAAGCAGATGATATTTTATCATTGCTCATGTAAGATAGAAGTAGAGGCCAGGGCACCATATCATGAGCATATTTTTATATTGAAACTATCATTGGGCACCAAAGATGTGTATACGACGCTATGAAAGTGCAGAGAACTGGAGATTTTTCCCACAAACTACGTACCTAGCCCACTCGACTGCCAATAGGAACTAAAAAAACAAAAACAAAAGAAAGTTAAAACAATGTCAGTCGAGTGAGCTATGTACGTAGTTTATTGGCGAAAAATCAAGACAGTCGAGTGAGCTAGGTACGTAGTTTATGGGCAAGAAATTAAGACAGTCGAGTGAGCTAGGTACCTAGTTTATTGGCGAAACATAAAGACAGTCGAGTGAGCTAGGTACGTAGTTCATGGGACAAAAATCAAGACAGTCGAGTGTGCTTTTTGAACTTTCTTTATTTCCCACGGTAAAAAAGTAATTCATGAAAAGTGACATTTTAAAACCTGCCTACAGGGATGAAATGTCAAACTTTTTTCCCGTCACAGAAAAGAATATATAATCATCTGCCATTATTATATAGGAAGATTCTGTGAAAACCTTCAAAAATAAATTGAAACGGGCATTATTGCAGAAGGATTACCATAAGCTGCAGGAGTATTATGACGACATACGACTAAATAGGTTTTGACGATGTGCGAACCACTATCATTCGTTTGTGATACAATTTTCATCTCATTTTATTCATGTTTGGTATGTTTTATACAATTATTATTATGACGCTGTCATATCATATTTTATGACTACTTCATTCTTTATTACATTCTTCGAACTGATTTTATTAGTAGTACTTTAGTTCTTTTGTGTTGATAAAATATTGATCATCAATAATATGCTGATATTGTTTCATTTTCAATTTCATTTTATCTTTGTTCTGTGATCTATACCATGTTTGTTATATTATACATTTCATGCTTTGTCAATAAGATCTTTATCTTGGACAATAAAGTACACTTTTGATTGATTGATTGATTGATTGATATATACCGGGTGTCCCAGTATACCTGTTCCAATGAATTATCTCAGCCATTTGGAAAAATGAAGACTCGAAAATTTGATGATCTACAATTCGTTCAAGGAAGCTTCAACTGAGAAAATCATTAATTGAAAGTCACTTCCGGTTTGACTTTCTTTATTTCACATAGCACCCTGTATATTTTTTGCAATTTTTGATTTCTACTCAAAATTACCGTTTCAACGATGTTTCACACTTGGTGCCTATTTTAAATTTGATTTGATCGAGAAAACGACAATTGAAATTTCAAATTGAACAAATTGCAGTCGGCTACGATATTTTTGTAATCTTGATTTTGACTTCAATAATAGTTTCAAATTATTAGAATTGTAGTAGATCATGTAATTATCAAATTTTCATCTTTCAAAATGACTGAGATAATCTATTGAAACAGGTATACTGGGATACCCGGTATATAATTCTGGAGTACCACAAGGTTCCAATTTGGGACCATTACTTTTTGTTATGTTCATCAATGACTTGCCCTCAATTCTCAGGTACTCGAGTTGTTTACTATTTGCAGATGATCTGAAAATTTTCAAAAAAATTGACACTATTAGAGATTGTGTTATGTTGCAAAAAGACTTAGAATGTGTTTGTGAGTGGAGCCGTAAAAATAAACTATCTTCCAATCTTAGGAAATGCAGTGTCATGAGAGTAACAAAGCTGAGAGATCCAATAATATTCGATTATATGATGCAAGATGAGGAATTACAAAGTGTTAGACAGATGAAAGACCTGGGAATTACATATGACCATACGCTATCTTTTTCAAATCATGTGAGAAATATAGCTAAAGCAGCAAACCGTTTGTTAGGATTCATAGTAAGGCAGACATCAAAATTTACTAACTTAGAAACTATAAAGATTTTGTATTTCACTCTAGTCAGATCTAAGCTCGAATTCGGTTCAGAAATTTGGTTAGGAGAATATCAAACTACACTATTTGAAATAGAAAAAATTCAGAACAAATTTTTAAGGTATATGTATTATAAAAAATATCGAATTTATCCCGACTACAATATAGTAAGAACTCTCCAATTGAGAAATGAGTTCAAAGTGATGTCTCTGGATGAACGAAGGAATCTGAATATAATAATCTTTCTATACAAATTATTAAATCATAAAATCAATTCCCCTGAACTACTATCTAGAATCAGATTCAATGTGCCTGCAAGACGAACACGAAATATTCTTATGTTCAATGTACCTCTAGTTTGTACTACCGCAAAGGCTCCACTTATAATCATGTTGCGACTTGCCAATACAATGAACTCAATGATAGATATAGATTGGACATTGTCAATGAGAGAATTCAGAAAAATCGCTACACATCATATCAATAATTTCAATTGAAATTCAACAGACTGTGAGTTATATTTGGAATCACTTATTGAACAAATATTATGTTATTTTGAAATATTCATTCATGTAATAAGGCCTTGTTTGGCCTGTTTGAATAATAAATAAATAAATAAATAAATAAATAAATAAATAAATAAATAAATAAATAAATAAATAAATAAATAAATAAATAAATAAATAAATAAATAAATAAATAAATAAATAAATAAATAAATAAATAAATAAATAAATAAATAAATAAATAAATAAATAAATAAATAAATAAATAAATAAATAAATAAATAAATAAATAAATAAATAAATAAATAAATAAATAAATAAATAAATAAATAAATAAATAAATGGATCAAATAAATAAATAAATAAATGAATAAATAAATAAATAAATAAATAAATAAATAAATAAATAAATAAATAAATAAATAAATAAATAAATAAATAAATAAATAAATAAATAAATAAATAAATAAATAAATAAATAAATAAATAAATAAATAAATAAATAAATAAATAAATAAATAAATAAATAAATAAATAGATAAATAAATAAATAAATAAATAAATAAATAAATAAATATCAAATTTTTTATGTTCATAATAATATCTGAGAATATTCCTTTTCAACATTTATTTGACCGTTTAGTTTTCATCTGCACAATACTAAAGTCTGCATTTCGGCCCTCCTTCTTCTGATGACGATGGAAAATTCATCTAATATTATGATTTAACTAGGTCTCAGAGATCAATTGCTGGCGCTGAAGTGGGTCCAGAATAACATCGAGAAGTTCGGAGGAGACTTCAGGAATGTGACGATTTATGGACAGAGCGCTGGAGCTGCATCTGTCGCTTATCTCGTGCAAAGTAAACTGAGCAAAGGTGAGTTTTTTATCTCTCGGAGCGTACGAATGAAAATTACTATGATCACTCACCAGGCGGATGGCTCTCTAGGTAAAAGAATGAAATTGAAAGGTGATTGAGTAAGATTTTTATTCAAGAAATTGAAAAGAAAGAGTCCACTCGCATATTTGCATCTGGTAAAATTCTCTGGTGAATTAGAACTCAGAACAGATCTCATAGCTGTTTGCTTTTTTATATTCATATTTTTCAATGATGAAGAAGCTATCTAGATGAACCGAATGACCCTTTATTTACATCTCATTATAGGGAATCAACGGAATTATTAGGGGCCCTAAATGTTTCTCATGGACTGAACATTTATTCATCCAACTAGTGTATTAATGAAGGTGATTAGTGATCGAGATATTAATCTTCAAATTAATTTACGAGTTGGTAACAAAAAGTCTCCGTCGACTTTATCATCTCCCCTACAATGAACAAAATTTGGTTCGCGAATTTATTTTTCATTCGAAAACTACCAACAATACGCGAGTGGACTGATTTCATATTGATTCGGTCGATTGTTAGGTGCTGAAATCATCAGTAATGCCACGGTAATTATATTAATTCACACTAGAGCACATTTTAATCGGTGAACGTAACAACACGGCGCATGACTTGTGTTCGTGGTCTTGTCAGTTCTGGACATTCAGCACAAAGTTGCCAAGTCTCCGGCATTTACATGATATTTTGGTATGGAGAATGAGAAATATTTGGACATGCTGGTTGCTCGAAAAAGTTAATAATAAACTATAATATCCTCCTATTATGTTTTATTCAACGACAGCACTCTAACATCTTTATGATAACTAGACTTGACATCCTTGCTTCATGAGTGGAAATGAAAGATTATCTGACCAATAAAGAAACAGCATAAAAACTGACGGCACCATTTATTCGACGTATCGCCAAATGAGCTCTGAAATTCAACAGTTCTAGAATACTGTTCCCACATATGGGGTTCAGCACCAAAACATACGCTGATGCTCTTAGGTTCCTTCCAGAGAAGAGCCATTTGCCTGGTGGGTGACGCCACACTCACTAACTCTTTGACATCATTGGAACACCGTAGAGAGGTCGGCGACCTTTCACTTTTCTATGGTTACTTCCACGGGAAATGTTCTTCGGAAATCTCTGCTATCATCCCTTCACTAGCAATACCAGTCAGACGAACTAGACAAGCCCAGTCAGCACATCCTTTCGTTGTCAACCTCGAAAGATGTCGAACAGCACTTTATAAAAACTCCTCCATCCATAGAACGGCTAGGCTCTGGAATTCATTGCCTGGCGAATTATTCCCAACATGAAATCTCCAAAAAATCCAAAAAAATTCCAATAGCTACCCCCTGTCCCTATCCTCCCTAGGAACGCACGATGTTCTTTGAACATTATAGGGATTTCCTTTCATGCGCTCCAAACGATAAAAAAATAACGAAATAGTGTAATGATTGAATGCTAATAATCCATTATCAGTCCACTCGCCCATTACCCTGAAAAGTCAACTTGTCACTGATATTTGATATTTGAAAAGAATCCCTTTTATGATAGAAAACAGGGACCAAAATTGGTTCAGAAGCGCTAAAACACTATCTCGTTAAATTAAAATGATTCTTCGATTCAAAAATGGAAGTTCAATTCAATCCCAACAGTGGACCGACTCGATGTATGTTTGGTTGCATAATCGTTCATTTAGAGAAATTGCTCGTTAATAGGGGTCATTGAAACTTTTATTTATCGTTTCTCTTGATTACAGGGTTGTTCAAGGGTGCTATTATGAGTAGTGGGACTTCTTTGTGTGAGTGGGCTCTGAATAGAAAATCTAAGGAAACCGCATACCGCATAGGACAAGCTCTGAAGGTGAACACTACGAACAGTAAGGCCCTGGTAGAGGGACTGCGTAAAATAAATCACATCGAACTTCAGAAGAAAGACTATGAGGCGTCTTTACAGGTAAAATGTTGCAATATCGTAGAAAATCTAATAAATTTACTGAAGACTTCAGTATTTGATCTTGCTTTCAAATCAATACTAACTTAATTAAGAGAACAAACTCAAAGTCTCGCTCCAAGTAAATTATAATCAAATAATATATGCTATATGCTACATGTTTCGACTCCTAGGAGTCATCATCAGGCTAAAATACAACACTTATAAATGAAAGAAGTTCCATCACTATTGGAAAAGGGGTGACATACCTTGCTAGGTAGGAGGAGAAAGGAAACTATAAAATTGAGAACATAGTTCTTAAGGCTTTTAAGCCCAAAATAATTTCAAGTAACATTTTTGAATTTTGGTTTTTTGAACCCCCAAATAAACATTTTTCTAAGATGCTTCTTTTGGATCAGATAAACATTGTTTACAGCAAATGGCGCGGTTATGAAGTGAACAAACCGACAGACTACTTGATTTGACAGATAAAAATTATTATTCGACAAACAAGTGACAAATGTCATCTATCAAAAACACAAAACATTGAAGAGTGGAGACTAGTGGAGAGAGAACTGACCCTTGTGGAGCGCCGTGCCAAACATTCATATATCTTAATTTTTCATTATTCACTTGTACACATTGGCTTCTTTTATATAAAAATGAGTTGATAAAATTTCTAGAATTATCCGAAAATTCGGCAATCAAGAGTTTGTCGTTCTTGGTGTCAAAAGCGTTGCTATAATTTAATGACAGGAAAATGGTTCATGTTTGTCAATTCGCGAGAATCACGAAGTGTGCGGCCTCTGGTGGCTAAGTTTACAAGTCTTGCGAGTATGAACAACAATGACAACAAATATGGCGACCATTGTTTTGAGTTTCATGATAATGTGTTTTATTTGAAGATTATTTATTTGTTGAAGTGCATATTCCAAAACCTCATTTGCCCTAATGGAAGAACTCGAATTATTGCATGAACTTTTATTATTTACAATGAATAAACCAGTACCTACCTTGAATAATATACATTTTATAAAGCACAATTAGAATCATTATATAAATGTTGGTTGCAATGATTCGATCTTGAAAATAACTTCAAGTCCTCAATTGCTGGGGATCCTTGTTCATGTAAATCGATGATATTGTTCATTCTTCGCAGTCTCTCCAACCATATCTTCCTTTGCAACCCCTAATTCACATTCATAACAGCCAGTGATATTTCTTGATGAATTCAATTATTTCTGCATACATATACCATATTGTTGTGATAGCTGATTTCTTATGGTTCCATTCCAATCCATGCAAGTGCTGAATGGACCCTTCCGACCATTCCTTATGATGTTTGAAAATATAGTGGAATTGTAATGTGATATGATGAATACCACCATTGTTCACATCAAAATGGCAATTTCTCTGCCCAAAAAGTTATTTTTTCCATACTGGAAACCTTGAACGTCAATTATGAAGATTTCACGAAGTCATTTAATTATTTACTATTATGCAAGATGATTTCAAAATCACCAATTTGCAATGGATACATTCGGCAGTGTTTTTGTTGTTCATACTCAGTTTGAAATTTGACGTTGATTTGACGTTTAGTAGCGTCATCTATTGGTTCGTGATTTTCGCGAATAGCACGGATAGTCCAGTAACTTTGTCGCCTGAACATATTGAGGTAGTATGCGTCAAATCCGGTACTTCTGTTTTTTTTTGCAGACTTGTTCATGGTATTGGCCTTATGAATGATCCAAGTTTGTGACCTCGAGCACCGAACGCAACTTTGTCAAGAATCGAAAAAACCGCGAAAAAATCGTAATTTTTTCAAATTTGGGCGATTATAACCCTGAAGGACTAGTTTGTGGAAAAAAATCTCTCAGGGCCTTTTTGAAGCAGATCAAATTTGCTACAAAATGATACAAAAACTGTCTCTGTTGACCCAATAGTTTTGGAGATTAAGACTTTCAAAGTTTAAATTTTCTTTCGAACGTCACTCGAATATACTCTAGCGGGATGAAGTATTAGCGTCTGCGGACAGGCGGGAGAACGTTATAGTGGGCAGTAGATGCGACTGGCGTTATGCGGCGCCGACTGAATGACTTCATCATACTTCGTCTCGTAAGCAACTGGTTGGCTCAGTAAGCAGAGCATCGACATGCCAAGCCGGCGGGCCGGGGTTCGAATCCGTGCGAGGCTCGACTCTTTTTTATTTTTTTCTTGTTCTCAAGTGATTTCTAAAAAATATTCTCTATGGGAAATAGGTTCATTTAGGGGTTTTCTATGTTTAGGCCAGAGGTGAGGTTCGGTTAGGTTAGGTTAGAATAGAATATTTTATTTGGTGTTAATAAACATTAAGTTTTACACAGGTCAACGAAACAAGTACAGATATACTCATAAAATAATAGATAGGTTAGGTTTTCTCATTTTTTATGCAGGAACAATATTTTCCTTCCTCAAGAAAAATTCTTCTTCTAGAATATTTTATTTGGTGTTAATAAACATCAAGTTTTACACAGGTCAACGAAACAAGTACAGATATACTCATAAAATAGATAGGTTAGGTTTTCTCATTTTTTATGCAGAAACAATATTTTCCTTCCTCAAGAAAAATTCTCCTTCTTCAAGAAAAAAGGTTCATCTAGGTCGATTGATTGTTAAAAAAAAATTCCTTCCTTATATTAGACTCGACACAAGTTAACTAACGTTCCCCTACCACGGAGTTATTACTTGCGGCTGTCCGCAGACGCTAGTTAAACTATACTGTTCGTGAGAAGTCACGAATGCGACCCACCTGTAGCACGTTCTCAAACTTTTTAGGCAATCTAAACCACGGGACTTTTCAGCTGGCAAGATGGCGCCTGGTTGTAGGGCCATCACATATAATAAATATTGGTTTTCTCTCAGGCACCTGCTACACATCCTTTGGTTTATCATGATTGATTCTGTTGTTAGATCTTCTTATTCTTGATAAATATTTTATCTGTGGATAATGCACAGAGTTTTTCACAGAATCACAGTAGGAATGTGAAAAAACTAAGCAAATTCTCCCGATCTGCACAGCTTCCACTATCCACCACAATACACGTTACCCGCATTTTTTCTTTAAAATCATATTGAGTTTTCATTATTCACAATAAATCTAACCAAAACTGAATAAAATAATACTCTAAGAGGTTTCCAAAATCCACCAAGTCCTCAAGTAAACAAACGAGTCACTTGTTTGCTTGCCTACCAGACGTCATTTTGAAATGATTTGACAGGTCGTTAGATTGTTGTTGACTGTCCTGCTGTCCATAACGTGAGTGCCGTTTGAACTCGAAAATCTACAGAATGTGTGATCCTTGTCCCAGCGTGGGATGGATTGCAAAAAATTGCGAAGTTCGAGAAAACTGATAAACTTTGAAGGGCTCAATCTCGGAAACTAATGAGTCTACAGAGACAGTTTTTATATCATATTGTAGCAAATTTGGTCTACTTTTGAAACGTTCTGAAAGAGTTTTTTCCAAAACATAGTCCTTTAGGATTATAAACGCCACAAACTAAAAAAAAAACGTTTTTTTCGCAGTTTTTTCGATTTTTGACAAAGTTGCGTTCGGCGCTCAAGGTCACAAACTTGGATTATTCATTAGGTCAACATCATGAACAAGTCTGCAAAAAATCAGAACTAACGGATTTGACGAATCCTGTGATATATAAAGTTACTGGATTAGGATAATATATGAGCAACTTCTTCAACAATTTTCGATAGGACGGGTAAAATATCACGGCCGTAGATCATTCATAGTTGATGATTTGGAGATTTTATTTATACAAAATATCAAAGATTTCTTCCAAATATGAAGTAGGAACAATGTTGGTGCCAAAATTGATCCTTGTGGAACGCCGGAATTGCTGGCAATATACCATAATGGTATAAAAGACGATACTGTCTACCACCACATGGAGTGATCTGTTTGAAAGAAAAACTCTTTGAAAAAAGGCATAGCTGAAGTGATCAATCATAATTATTATTATGATGATAGCTTGTGGAGAAGTCCTTGATGCGAAACACGGTCGAATGCTTACGATAATATATCCAACGCCACAGCTAGAATGACGCATTGTTTGAAATAATGACGCAAAACCACGAGGAAGTATTTCTGGATCCAAATACACAGTGGTTTTGAACTGTCTCTCAATATTTCTCATCAGGCTGATAGTATACACCCAAAATTATAGTTGATGATCCTTTTGAAAAAACTAGATGATGATGCATTTACATTTAAATTACATCCAGAAACCAACTGTTCACCTAGTTCCTCGACATTATCATAATACTGCAGAAAAGTCGGCAAGCTTTCAATTTTTCCCGCAAAGTGTTCTTCAGAAAGCTTGGTGGTCATTCCATCACTACCTATAACTCGACTTGTTAGCACTTTCTCTTGTTGAGATATGTCGAACATTTATTTATCAAAACTCGCGAGTCTATAGAATGGCAAAACTGTGGAATTCTCCACCTCGGAAATTATTCCCAATAATCCCAATACCTATCATATCTTCCTATCATCTCTAGATATGCACGATGTTTCACTAACATAGTGGGAATTCTCTTTCGTATACACCAAAGGACGAAAAAATATTGTCGCATTAGATTTTATGTTGCCTAGCAACAAACTTGTAGAGAAGGTAATATTCTTCCACATATTTTCGTATGGTGAAATAGTATTTAGCCCATTGATGATTTATTCACTTATGGCACAAAAAAAAGAAAGTGCATTTTTTTACAGTAGTAGAGAAAATACGGGTGTTCCAAAGTTGCTAGGACACCGAGCTAACACGTGTAATTCAGGTGAAAATGAAAAAATAAAAAATGTACCGTTTCTCCGTGAGACGAGTTGAAAGTTTACATAAAAAACACATTTTTGTACGCTGTTCAAAAGTGACTCGAAAAAATTGGATGAAATTTGTCAAAAGTGCATTTCAGAGGATGACCCTTTTTTCAGTAAGTGATCAAAGAAACCCGAAAGAAATTGTAGAAGAGTTGAAACCATCCTCACCCCCTGAAATTTTCTCAGGAAATTGTTAGAGGTTCTCAATTATTTTTTTCTGCAACCGACACAAAAGTCGTCCATTTTGATACCAAAATTAGCTCTTAAATTGACGTTTCTATTACTGACACAAAAATAGGTATGTTGCTAGGCAACATATTTAGTTCCTAGGAGCTAAAGTTGAATTTTAGTTCCTAGGAGCTGAAGTTGAACTTTAGCTCCTAAGAACTAAAAAGGATGTACTGGACGTCATCAAGAATAAACAACATTGTGACGGTAGGTTATTTGGGTTGAGACGCATACCTGATTTGTTTCCGATTTCAGCAGATTTGGCATTTCATAACCATGCTGGAGATATAAATACACCTTATTATAGTTTAGTATTGGAATTATAAACATCTCAGTTAAGTATTTTTGTTTTGATCAGGGAAGCCTTCAAGATTCAAATACTTGCTTGATCTTTATTTCATTCGTTATTCTCGGGATGGATAACTTGTTTTTGAATAATCACGGCAAGCAATAGTTTTTTTGTCTCAAACAACGATATTGTTTAGCTTCATTTGATTATCAAGTCAAACACAGTGTAGTATGGAGAGGAATAAATAATCACTATTATCATTGTTGATATGCTCACTAACCTAACATTTTCCACGTCTTGTTCCTATAGCTGGCACTGGCGCGGTATTTGCCATTAGAGCACCTGGTTCATACACAAATATGTCACTCTGTGGTTGTAGGTATTCATATTGAAACTACAATTCGAACATCCTAGAAAACCTAACCTGCTGTTAATGCAGGTAGAATATTCTCACCACATGGATTATTTGTCAATATTTGTTGCATTGCATACATATGGCACGGCATTGGTGGTTACTTCACATGTTTATTTGAGTTAATTGTTTCGGTTGCAGAAAAAATAGCATGTTTCATTCGGATCAAAAGTGACTTTGTTCGACTCGCAAATTTTGCTTTCGCTCGGCTTCGCTAAACGCTCCGCCTCGCAAATACAAAATTCGCTTGACAAACAAAGTGTCACTTTTGATCCTAATAAATCAATCTACTATTAACGGGATGACTAACTAATTATCTTCATTTTGTTACTCTTGCAAAAAATCGGTATTCCGCATAATTCCGAAGGGAAATGATGTTTTCTTAAATTATGCTAACAGATATTTCTAGAAAAAGTTTGATAAAATTGTAATACAAAATTAGTTGGAGTAGAAACAAATAAATTGACATTTGTATTAATGAAAGGGGGCGTCATATTGAATATTAATTTAAAAGAAATGCACTGCTTTTGTTTCCACTATCAACTAAATTATTTATTATACATACAGTGTGTCCCACTTACCATGCTCACCATGGGTATCTTTTTAACGGTGAGAGATACGAGGTCGGTAAAATGACACCAAATGTGGAGTTTGTCAGGGCCAACTATAATGTGAAAAAACATTTTGATAAAATCTAGTCGTTTTTGTTTTATACGCAAAAAACAGATTTTGATCATTTTCATGTCTCCTCCGTTACTTCTTTATTTATGAAAATATTCAAATAGGAATTTCACATTCTCATGGCAGTTTTTCAAAGTGATTTCGAAAAAAATATGAAATTTATACCAACTCTTCTAGAATTTGAGATATCAGCACCAACTTTAGTTTTTCAAATGTAGGTCATAGCTCACTATGACTTAGTTACAAATAACTTTTTTTTCTCTTCCAGATGATATGTCGCAGTAATAGTTTTGTGTTGATAACAACGGAGTTATCGTCATTTATACAAGAACAAGAAATTATTTGGAAGCCGCCATCTTGAATTTATAAATTTCAACAAAAAAATCATGATCTCCGACCTCAAAAACCCCCACTCACCAATTTTGAATGGAATCGGACCAAATCTTGTCCGCCATCTTGGAGCAGCCATTTTTTTCAATTTCAACAAAAATTCCATAACTCCGATTAACTTGAAATTTGACAGGTGTCCATAATTTCGGTGACAAAACATTGTGGAATTTTTGTTGAAATTAAAAAAAATGGCTGCTCCAAGATGGCGGACAAGATTTGGTCCGATTCCATTCAAAATTGGTAAGTGGGGGTTTTTGAGGTCGGAGATCATGATTTTTTTGTTAAAATTTATAAATTCAAGATGGCGGCTTCCAAATAATTTTTTGTTCTTGTATAAATGACGATAACTCCGTTGTTATCAATACAAAACTATTACTGCGACATCTCATCTGGAAGAGAAAAAAAAGTTATGTGTAACTATGTCATAGTGAGCTATGACCTACATTTGAAAAACTAAAGTTGGTGCTGATATCTCAAATTCTAGAAGAGTTGGTATAAATTTCATATTTTATTTGAAATCACTTTGAAAAACTGCCATGAGAATGTGAAATTCCTATTTGAATATTTTCATAAATAAAGAAGTTACGGAGGAGACATGAAAATGATCAAAATCTGTTTTTTGCGTATAAAACAAAAACGAATAGATTTTATCAAAAATTTTTTTCCACATTATAGTTGGCCTTGAAAAACTCCACATTTCGTGTCTTTTAACCGACCTCGTATCTCTCACCGTTTAAAAGATACCCATGGTGAGCATGGTAAGTGGGACACACTGTATATTAAACTTGTACTATAGGAATATCTGATAGCATTATTTAAGAAAACAATTTTTCCTCCGGAACTATGCGGAATACGCAATTTTTATACAAGTAACAAAATGAACATAACTAATCAGTCATCTTGCTCGAAAACTTTGAGAACCTTATCACCACCCCTAAGAATGTTCTGAGAAAATTTTCAGGGGGTGAAGGTGGTTTCAACCCTTCTACAATAATTTCTTTCGGGTTTCTCCGATTACCTACAGGAGGGTTATCCTCTGGAATGCTATTTCATCGAATTTCATCCAATTTGTTTCACTAATTTTCAAACAGCATACAAAAATGTATTTTGTGTGTAAACTTTGAACGCGTCTCACCGACAAACCATATGAACTCATTTCGACCTGTATTACACGTGGTAGCTCTGTGTAACAGCAATTTTGGGACACCCTGTATATCGACTGACTAACACTTATTCTTCTGTAGATAATGATGGAGGATCCATTAGAAGGTGTACAATTCGGCCCAGTTATCGAACCATATCATAAAGATGCTGTCGTTGATCAAGAAAACATCGAAGTGATGTCAACCGGAAAATTCCAACGAGTACCATTACTTATAGGGATGAACTCGAACGAGGCCGCAGCCCCAAGCAGAATACCTCGTAAGAAATTAAGAAACAGTACTTATACGGGGTGATCAAATCAAATAGAACTAGATGAAGCAAGATGCAATGAACATAACATAATTACAAAACTCGTCCGCCATATTGGATCTGCCATATTGGATCCGTCATCTTGTATTTCCTAGTTTCGACAAAAGAATCATTATCTCCGACCTCGAAAACCTCCAGATACCAATTTTGGGAAGATTTCGATCATAATAATAAGACTCGTCCACCATATTGGTTCCACCATCTTGAATTTCCAAGTTATGACATACATACATCTTTAATGCTGAAGTGGACCAAGTCCATGTTTGGTAGATTTGAGAAATGATAGACAGAAGACCCATCTTGCTCTCCTTGACATAGCGAAAGCATTTGACAAGGTGTGGCATGATGATGATATCTTGTACAAAATGATCGATATGGGCTTTCCTGATGATTTGATTCAGTTTATGTGTTCATTTCTGGAAAATCAAACTTTTCAAGTGAAACTTGATGATCAACGATCTGATGTCAACCATATTGAAGCTGGTGTTCCTCAGGGTGCAGTTTTATCACCGCTGTTGTACAGTTTATATATTAGCGCTTTGCCGAGACCAGTGATGTGCAAGAGGTCGCTTTTTGCTGATGATACAGCATAGCTATGAACCACCGAAGGACGCTGAATTCTCTTCAGGAGTACTTCCTGAGATGGATGATCAAATTGAATCCTGCAAAAACACAATTGGTCGCACTCGGAAGGGAGCGGAGGCCTCCTAGAACCAGAATAGTCCTGGATGGTCATGAGTTAGAGTGGTCTTCATAGGTTAAATACTTAGGTGTCTGCATTGACAAAAGGCTCACCTGGGCCCAGCACATTCAACAGCAAGTTTCAAAAGCTTAACGAGCCATTGGAGCCCTGTATCCATTTCTAAACAGAAGAAGTAAATTGGGTTTGAGACAAAAATTAAATATTTACATCATGGCTATCAGGCCAATTTCACTGTAGTCTGGGGCTACACAGCTGAATCTCATACCACCAGATTACTTTCGAAAAAGCTGAGGTTCATGAGAATCAGCTTCCTCGAAATGCAGTTGATTATGACCCAGGTGATTAATCAAAGTTCAAAAGATGAAGATTGTCCATAAACTAGAGAAACTATCTACATTATGACTAGATTCACTCTTCCCAAGTTTTTGATAATTATTTATTCCGTTCGATCTTTTTCAATTCTCAGAATGTATTTCTGAAACTTATTTGGGACAGGAGGGCTCTTCGGATCAAACTTCAATACCGTTTTAAATTTTTTTTGTTTCATGATCGATATCAGGATGAGAGGGACTCTTTCCTGGTCTGAATCAAATAAAAGAAAGACCCAATAATAATACATACATAGTACCTACAGCTAAAGAATGAAAAAATGAAAGCTGGCCTACCCGGACAGTCACGAGACTCTCATCGCTACAAGACAAAAGTTGATTTTCTTCAAATTAATTGATGAAAATTGACTTATTTGTACAAAAAGATAAAACAATAACGCACTTATGGAATTTCTTTTACACATATTACACAATACATATTACGTAATATACTAGTGATGATATTTTGATAAATGACTTCGTTATCATTTCAATACTTACTGAAAGAATCAATTTAAATACATTTCGTTCCTGAATGATAGACGATACATCAACTTTGCATCAAACATAGCAGATATTTGAAGCGGGGAAATCTTATTTTTGTCGACAATTATTGATTGAAAGTTAGTAGCATATTGAAGCTACTAGAATGAAATTGTTTTGTCGGTGTTAATTTTTTTCAATATCACAGATATAGAAATCGAAAAGATATCAAAAAACAAAAGTTGTGATAGAACGTTGAAATTTGGGAGAAATATGAAGCGTTGAAAAAAAGAACAACTTTCATTCGTGAACTTTCTTGAAATTCAAATAAATAAACCTATTTTCAGCAATCAATTTGAAAAAATTAATCTTTTGACATGTAGCGAAAGTCTTTCCCATATGATGCCGATCAACTTTATGAATGACAGTTTATATCTCAATAACGGTCCGTTTGAGATTATATCTTCAGTATTTTTTCATTGATTGCGATCGACTCCTTCGGTTTAAATCATTTGCGAGGTCATTTGACGTTGATCACCCGTATATTTGTCTGAGATGGAAATATTCATGATCAATCTTTTTTCAGCATTTGTTGACTTCATTCTGAGCCCCGACATCACTATCCCAGATTTCGCTTTAGCTGGTCTCACCAATAACGGAAAAGTGGCATACACGGCAGGTGAAAAAATAAAGGATTATTACTTCGGAGATCAACCACCTAGCACACAAAAAGGGAAAGCAGTCAAGGTATAATAATAATAATAATATCGATATTTGACATTGGATCTCCTCTTAAAGTCCTAGTTCGTGAAACAATTTTTGTGAAATATGAAACATTCCACCTATATACTCAGAAACATTTATGAGACATTCTAGAGACCATAAATAACCTAGGGTGTGTAATGTTTCATTGGAATGTTTCAACCCAAATCTCCATGAAACATTTGATAAACAGTATACATAAACATCTTCGAGATATTTCACTATTGCATTTCATGAAACGTTTCACAAATAGTGTCTTTGAAACATTTCCTAATTGCACTATTTGCAACATTTCCAACATGACTTTTTTGAAACATTTACAATACATTTCACTTCTGCTGATACTGGAACATTTGAATATGAAACCATTTTTAGTTCATACCAAGACGACATTATCACAGCAGTCAATTGGGATAACTAACTCATAATGAAAGTGAACCCTAATTAACATCGTGTGTATTGTAGTCAATTGGTATTATTATAAGGTTATATGGAAGAAAAGCAGAGTGAATAAAATGAAACTGCATCACTTTTAGTGGATTTCATACTATAAAAAATCTTATTGAATTATAATAAAAAACATTTCATTCAATATTCTCATCCTTACCTGATTGGCGAAACCAAGCTGGTACATATTTTTATAATTCCATATCCGTAATAGGAAACCGACAAAACAATGTACAAAAAAGTTGAGGTTATTTTTGCCACTACCGCCCTACCTTCTATGTATTCAATTTTAGGCCGACTTTCATTCCATTCAATCGAACATCGAATATTTAGGGAATGTTTGAAAAATTATCGAAGTCTCACTTTAGTCACAGTATATCACCCTTCTGGTGACAGGATAATATACTGTGCTTTAGCTTTGGACCTTGTGGAAAAGAATCTGTCCCATAAAAGTGAAACATTATTCTCCCAATTGATTCGACAAATTCACAATAGGTGCGACATCTATGTTTATTCAGTTGAACTGATATAAAGTACATTATGAAGTATTTCTTGCCATAAGTGGTAATGTATCACACAATGTGCAATTGAAACAAAACAAGCCGTCAATGTGACATTATCAACAAAAATATTTCTTTCTTGCTTTTGCATGAGCAAATTCATTTACAATTCCCAAAAAATTTCGTTTTCAATGGCAAGCAATGCCTTGAATCCAAAATTTTTTCTGACATTGTGGATCGGAAATAGTTTTCAACTCTTTTCAGCACAGAAAAGGATCTTTCACCGCTGCAATTTGTCACAGGAGTGCTTTCGCAATTTGGAAAAACTCCTCTTATACTTGGTGCCCTAAAATATTCTAGTTTTATATTTATCCCAACAAAAGCGCTCTAGGCTCGGTGTTCGTGCAGTCGTACATCGTACATGCTACGTATATTCTATATTCCGACTTTTCAGACTTTCGGAGATATACCAATTTTGAGATTTTTACTATTTCATGAACTATGATTTTGCGCCCCTCAAAACTTGGCGCCCGAAGCGCTCGCTTCTTTTGCTTCCTGGTTGATCCGCCTCTGACCCTGTATATATTTTGCAGTTCATCAGTGACAGTCAATGGAACTATCCAGTTAGAAAAGCGGTGATCCGCCAATCCCAATTTGTACCTATTTATTTCTATGGTTTGTGGTATGAAAGTGTACTTGGAGGAACTCCGGACAGAAAATTTCCAGGTATGCAGAAATATTGCTTATGTTTGTTCAACCATTATCTGAAAAATTCACATCGACTGGCATAAATCATCCCGAGCTGCTTATCATACGCACAGGTCCGCGCGAATACATGGGAAACACATTCTTGTATACAGGGTATGTCACGACGAGCTTCACTATCTTTATATCGATGATATCGAGAATCAGTCGAAGGAAATTCATGAAAATTTTATGCTCACTGAATTGTTCTAAAATTGTTCTAAAATTGTACGAGTAACCCTCAGAGTCTTGTGCGAGCAAGGAATGACGGGGGCCTTACCTTTTAACGTGTGATCCCAAACACATGTTTTAGGATAGGCTCTTTTTATTTGAAATATTTTCGACAATGCAGTGTTGTCTCTTCTACTAGAAACTAGTAGCAACGTTGGTATTTCAAATAGGTCACCCTGTATTTTATCGCATTGTTAGTTTGTCCCTGAAGAGCTGATTTCATCGATATATCACACTTCGGGTATACAGATTACAGAGAGTTATAATAATGACAATAAATAATAATGATAGTTATTTATTATACAAGGGAAAAAAGCTGTAGATTTTAGCTCCAGGTTGTGTTGTATCCCGACGCGTAGCGTAGCGGAGACAAAAAATATTTTTTTTGTGACAGAAGAAAGGACGAATCCATATTGAGAAGATATTACATTATTTTGAAATCTGAAAATAATCGACGTGAAATTTCAAGTTTTTAACAGTAGGGACACCTGCGTTGTAGGCATCTTTATCATGCTTTTGAAGTAATCAAATATCTGATGTCACTTCTGTCAGTCTAATTTTGTGATTTGATTTCAAAAAGTTGCGAATTTAGTGGTTGTTTAGTAATATACGTAACCGCGAAGTCCAATGGAAGATAAAAGGACTTGCAGTTCTTCCTCAGAGACAGTATTATTGACTCATTTTTCGGAACTATATAGCACAACAAGAGCCATCAACAGTGTATATGGATGTGATATATATCCGGGAAAAAAGTACTCACTCAAAAATGGTATTTATTTTTCTTGGAGGTGTTTAGCTGACGTTATTCTTCCACTCAACCGAGTTTCAAAGTTACACAATTGTTCATTGAACATATTTGTTTTAGCACAAACACCTCAGAATAAAAGTCCATATCCCCAGTATAGTGAATAATAAACACTTCTTCCTGCAGATGAACTTTGCATTTATTGAAAACCAGTTCAAGACAATACGAAATAATGAGTTTGAGATAATTGAGATTTTTCTATCTTTTATCGAATTTAGACGAGTTAAACTTGACACATCCTGTATATCACTATATCTTGGTTTGCTGAGAATTTCTACGTTGAAACTTAAACGAATTTTGAACTTAAACCAATAATATAAAACTATGAAATGTAATGTTGGTACTCATGCAAGAAACTAAAAAATCAAAACTGAAATCAAAACTAAGAAAGATGGCCAACATTCAACTAAGAAATTAATTTCTTCCATAATTCACGACCAGCGCATGCGCCAAATAATAACTAGTCGCGCTGGAAAAAGATTAAACGGCTGATGAAAGGTTTATTGCATGAACACCCATATATTTTTAATTTAAAATTCGTTTGAATCTTAAATTCATTATATTTTAGTTGATGTTGCATGAATCCACCTTTAGTTGTCCGATGATTGAAACGCACTATAATTGATGAATTATTTTTTAGGAGTTGGCCACAGCGAGGATTTGGGATATGTATTTAGATCATATATAAAATCAAATTCATCACACGACTACTTGGTTGGTCGCAGGATGGTCAGAATGATAACGAATTTCGTGAAATACAGGTAAGAACGCCATAATATAGTAGTTTTGTAAGACACGTCTGAACTGCCATCCTAAAAGGTTATTTATGTACCAAGAAAAATTTTGGAGCGTTGAAATTTATTCAACAAAAATCCTGAGAATGTTACCTAATATTGTTCATAGATATCTAACTCTGATATTTTGTAAGTATACACTTACGTGATGACTATGTACTGATAGCATGTCATTGAGCATAGCAACATTTCGACTGGCATACAGGGTGGTACATATTTTTTGTACCGTTGATAACAAAATCGATCGAAATACCTTTTTTCAGCATACCACTGACTCGATAATTCAACTATTTAATACTTACATGTTAGTACGTTTTTGCTTCGTTTTCAACTACGAAAAAGCCAAAATGCACAAAGTGGAATGGAATGTTAAATAAAAAGTAAAAGTTCGAAAGGCATGTCCACAAATGTTCATAAAATTAACAACAATGGTTTATAGATGACGGGAGAAAAACAACAGCTTTCTTCAATGCCGATTTATTTCGATTGAGCTGGCGGTATCAGGACTGCTAGCTTTAGTTTATTTACTTTACAGTCTACACTGATGAGGGTCAAGAGTCCGATACCGGTTTGTAGGTGTCGAGCGTTAACCTGGCTGAATCGAAATCAATCGGCATTAAGGAAATAATCACTTGCATCAGTATTCGTTTATCGATGCATATACCGGGTGACACAGGATACATGTAACAGCCTGTAGTTTCTTTAGTTGGAGAGATGAACATTTGAAATTCACAAGTGTTATATCATCGATGATGGCGCTTCCTTTGAACCCAATGACAGTTTTTTTCAATCACCTGTTTGATTGGAAGTAGACCCAACTAATTTTTTCAAGTGACACTTCGTATATTTCTGTACCCTATCTTATTCGCCTTGAAATTCTCTATTCAACTATGTATCACAATTTGATATTAGTTCATTAACAACTCACGATATTAGGGCGATACATCAATTATTAAAACAATTCCAGTTCCATCAGGTGCCATGTATCCAAATAGATGATCATATTATGGCTTCATGGCGAAAATGAAAGACAAATAGTTTCTTCACAAGTAGCCAAATGAAAAAAACTGAGTTTCTATCTTAGTTTTCTCAATATCGTGAGTTATTTTCAGATGATTTTTTTGAACTCAATGAAATTATTGGCATTCTTCTGGGACCGATGAGAATATGGAGAATATTCTGATAGTATCGTCTAAGTAATGATCTTTGGATTTCTAATCCTATCAAGCATCGAAATGTCATTGCATTCGGGCCACAGCCAACTTCATGTATTTCAATAAAATGCAAATTAACAGCCAATTAATAAACGAAGATCAAATTGTGAGGCAGATAAGATAAGCTACAAAAATATGCCGGATGTTATTTGAAAAAAAAAAAAGTTGGGTCTACTTCCGATCGAACAGGTGGTTAAAGAAAATTGCCATTGAGTTCAAGGGAAGCGCCATCATCGATAATCTGTAAAAGGTCTTTACAAAAACATACCACATATTCCTCAGACCAATAAGTCGATTTAAGTAAAATTACCTCTGTACAAAGTTGCATCGTTTGTGCTCCAGAGGGCCTTGAGGTTACAATTTTTAAATCGTTTTTCACATATAAATTTAAAACGGCATATGCGATTTTGCTGGAATTTGGTATATTGATAGAGTTTCATGTGGCAAACAAATGATTTATATTTTTGTCCGATATTAATCCATAGGCGTAGAACTTGATTTTTTTTAATAATTGCACCTTTAACAATTCTACACCAATGGAATGAAAGGAATTTGAGTATGAAATTTAGATTGCGCAACTCATTTACTTTAAAAAAGGTACTTCTCATGAGACTCGCTTACTCTCATGGTTTTCGCTAAATTTCTGTTTTAATAATTTAGAGTGTATTGGTTTCACAACAATATTTATTTACAACATAATCAAAATAAATAGAGATTTTACAAACATTGTTCAAAATGTTCACCATTTTCAAGGATTGGCGTAGAACTTGATTTTTTAAATAATTGCACCTTTTAAAATTCTACGCCAATGGCAGAAAAGGGGTTTGAGTATGAAATTTGGATTGGGTACTCATTTACTACAAAAAAGTACCCTTGATAACACTCGATTCACTCACATGGTTTTGACAAAGTTTGTATTTTAGTAATTATTGTTTATGTTCTAAAATTACTAAAATGCAAATTTCATCAAAACCATGAGAGCAATCGAGTCTTATCAAGAGTACCTTTTTCAAAGTAAATGAGTTGCGCAATCTAAATTTCATACTCAAACTCCTTTTCTTCCATTGGCGTAGAATTTTTAAAGGTGCAATTATTTAAAAAATCAAGTTCTACGCCTATGTATTATTATCAGACAAAAATTTAACACCAATTTTTTGCCACATAAAACTCTATCAGTATACCAAATTTCAGCAAAATCGCATATGCCGTTTTGAATTTATATGGGAAAAACGATTTGAAAATTGTAACTTCAAGGCCCTCTGGAGCCCAAACGATGCAACTTTGTACTCAATTTTCAATTCAATTTATTCAATTTCTCTCAGTATTCCATGTACAAATGTATGCATCTTTAAATTAATAATAATAAATTATATTCATTTTATGTACTATTTGTTATTTGACAATTTTCGGTTACTGAGTGCCCTACAAAACATCGTCACGCTAGATTTGAAGTCTGTCTTGTGATCTCTGTTATGTATGACACCCAAAGTGGATTATTTTGATGTGGCAAGTAATAAATGTTTACTAATATTATTTTATGGTATTCATATTAAGGAAGGAAGGAAGGAAGGAAGATTGGACGAACGTCCCAGAACTGGTTGATCATAAATTCTTAATTAATTATATAATTGTGATTATTAGAAAAATTTGTCGGGATGGCTCAATATATATTTCTTTGTTTCCTTTTTGAAAATATTAAAGCTTTTCATTTCTTTAAGATTTTTTGGGAGGGTATCGTAGATTTTTGGCCCGTAGTGAGAAAATGAATTTTGTGTAACAGTTTTTTTAAAAAATTCGACTTTAATATTCGAGTTAGTTACTGATCGAGTTTCTCGTGAGTGTTGTTGTGTGAATATGTGTTGATCTCGATTAATTCTTTTTAGGCATTGATAAGCACAGATTGATTGGATATTCAATATCTTGAATTCTTGGTATAATTGAATTGTAGAAAAAAGTCTAGGTTTTCTAAAAATAATTTTTAATAATAAATTTTGTGCAGTCTGCAATGGATTGAGATGGGTTTTGAATGTTAGTCCCCAAGCCGGAATGCAATATTGTATTAGTGATTCTGAGGCAATTATACTTAAATCGACTTATTTTGGTCTAAGGAATATGTGGTATGTTTTTGTAAAGACCTTTTACAGACACCCTCAATAACCCTTGAGAATTCCAAATTTGTATCTCTTCAAATAAAAAAACTACAGGCTGTTACATGTCTTTTGTGTCACCCGGTATAGGTATAGATATCGAAAGGATGTAATTCAATGTTCTGCGTGCATTAGTAAAAAAAGAAGTGGGTTTTCCCGTCATCTACCATTGTTGATTATTTTATGAACATTTGTGGGCATGACTTTGCACTTCCACTTTTTATTTTGGATATTTCATTCCGATTCAAGTATGCAACGTCACAAAATCTAATATGAACAATAAAAACCTTATTCGAAAACCAAAAATAAGTTTTTTGTTTCAGCAATCCAACCCCCAAAGAAGACGAACTGCTGCAGAACACTATTTGGCCTCTTAGTACAGCCCTTCCCAACAATCTAGTTTTTCTGAAAATCGGTTATGATTTGGAGATTGCGTTGAATCCGTTCCACAAAAACATGAGATTGTTCGATGATATTTTCCGAACATATGGTACTCCTCCTTATTATTAACACAAAAGGATTCTACTAGTATTATATAGGTAGTTGAACTATTGGATACCTATATCATTCAATTGATAACTAATTGAATTGGTTTTGTCTGTGATTCTAATAAAATTTCACAATAAAAATTTTATTCGTTTTTTTTTTCCTGTTTTTGTCCATGTATTTTTTCTTTATGTTCTGGTTCCCGCGAAACGGGATATCCTGTAATGTTCAGAGAGCTTCAGAGTTATCCCCAGAACATCAAAAATTGACAGGTTCCTGGGCACCACACGTGGGCACTTCATAAGGAATAGCTATTTGTATTACTAGGGAGGAAAGTGCCACTTTTCCTCCCGCAGGATGTAGTTTACTGCCCGACGCGAAGCGGAGGGCAGTAAACATCCAAGGGAGGAAAAGGCACTTTACTCCCATGTGATACATATGATTTTTCCTCCTACCCACCTTTTTTTGAAAATTTATTTACGACACAAATACACAAGAATTATTTATTAAACAAATTTATCAATATATGCAACACCATTGGAAGAAGATAGGGTTTGAACAGGAGCTTTAGTATTTGAAATATTTTCGCTTAGCACATTGTAATGGTGGTAACTTCTAGAAGTGCTTGGCTGATTTTGATCAAGTTCAGGTTCTACATTATTTCCCATAATTTGGTCAGAATTTTTTTTTTGTGTAAGATTGTTCTACATAACCTTCTGCGATATTGGTTGATTTCCAACCGCCATGCTGTTTTAGAGCTAAAATATCCCCACCAGCGTTTACTAACAGAGTTGCTGAAGTTCTTCTGAAACTGTGCCCTGTGTAATGTTCGGCATTTGGAAGATTGAGATATTGTGCAATTTTTTGTGGTATTTTGGATATACTATTCTTGCCAACCACTTGATTTATACATTTGCCTGCTTTAAAGCATACCAACAATCGTTTATGCTCAGTTTTAGGACGTAGACAGATATACTTTTTAACGATTTGAACAAAATTTGGGCCGTTACCTGTTGTAGTATTGATAACGAAAGTTCGTTGTTTATACGTTTTTGAAGTGGGGATATTTATGACTAAAAGATTGTCTTTGTCTTCAATATCATCCATAGTCATTTTAATAAGCTCATCACATCCTCATGCTCCAGAAATTCCAATAACAAGGACTACCTATGAATATTTTATATCAAAAATTAAATTATTTGCATGGGATTTCATTTCTTACCTTCATTAATGAAAAAACATCATCGGGGGCTTCCATTAAGAATGTATTTATTTCTTCTCTTGTAAAAGTTTTAGCTTTATTTGGTTTGTATCCGGCATTTTGACGTTTTAGAAATGCAATCAACTTTGGATATTTAATATCGACATTGTCCTTCATTTGTATCATTGTGCGTAGCATTGAATATTTAGACCAAAGTGTTGAAGCTTTTAATGATTTTCCTTGTTGTGAAAAATATGCCAGTAAAACATTCTCTGAATATTTATGTATCTTGTTGTCTTCAGCCCATTATTGCTTATATTGTGCATATTGTTTTTCATACCTGTCTTTAGATTTTTGTGGTAGTAAGGTTAATGACGCTATGTTGGCTTGTTCCTTAATATTAGGTGGTGTATTTGGAAATTCAAAATCACTTGAATCGCTCTCCATTTTTCAAAAATTCAACTAAATGAGATTTTTCAAGTAAAAAATATTCCGAACATTCCGCTGGATCCGAAGAATTTGCTGCGAGAACTCTCAAAGAGAGAAATCTGACTGGAATATTTCCAAACCTGGAAATAGCATTAAGACTGTTCATATCTAAAGCAGTCACTAACTGTTCAGGAAGAAGATCTTTCTCTAAATTCAAGAGAGTTAACAATTATTAAGGTCGAAGTTATTGGATTCCAAACTGAGTGACTTAGCATTAATGACAATAGAATCAGACCTGCTCAAGAATTCAGAAGTAACAGAAATAATAGCAGTATTCTCTGCAAATAAATCGAGAGAAAAAAATTTAATTGAATGTTATACTTTTGTACCTGACTTTTGTTTTGTTGTTTTTTTTTTCTTTTCTGAAAACCAATTTCATTTCTGTTAGTTGTTGGACAATAATTTGTTGATGTTGTTGCACTATTTTTTAGTGTTTGATATAATTTTAAATAAAATATGTGTCGTTTAGAAAATTTTCATCACATATACAGGGTGATTCAGGTGTTGAGGCACAAACTAAAATGGGAGATAGATCTCATCATTTTAATCAAGAAAGTTAATATAAACATTAGTCCGATCTCGTTTAGTAGCGGAGTTACAAGGGGGTCAAAGTTAAATTATTTTTTTCTATTGATTGAAATATCTCGCTTACCTTTCAAGATATCGCTCTGAAATTTGGTGTGGTCAATACTTTCTAGAAGATTATCATTTCAAGCCATTTGAAGATTTTTAAAATCTACAGGGTGATACATTTTTGGGGGTAGAGACTTCTTTATCCACCCCAAACTTTTTCGTAATACACCTCTGGCATCTTTCAGTGATCAAATTGTGTGGATCGTTCAATTTAGAGGCTTTTTTGTTCTTTCATTTTTTTCGAGAAAAGAACCGTTTTTGAGATAAATAAGCATAAACGTTCTAAAACATGTTAATTTTGCTTATGTTTCGCTAATATTCTATTTTCGTTGAAAGTGCAATGAAATGTACTCACTAAAATTGCAATCACGAGTCCAATCTGGATCAGTAACGGGGATACAGAGGGTAGAAAGTCTAGGTTTTTTTTTCAGATGAATAAAATTTAAGCGAAACATAGGCAAAATTAACATGTTTTAGAACGTATATGCTTATTTATCTCAAAAACGGTTCGTTTCTCGAAAAAAGTTGAAGACCAAAAAAAGCTTCTGAATTGAACGATCCACACAATTTGATCACTGAAAGATGCCAGAGGCGTACTACGGAAAAGTTTGGGGGGAATAAGGAAGCCTCTCTCCCCAAAAACGTATCATCCTGTAGATTTTGAAAATCTTTAAATGGCTTGAAATGATGATCTTCTAGGAAGTATTGACCACACCGAATTTCAAAATAATATCTCAAAAAGTAAGCGAGATATTTCAAATAATAGAAAAAAATAATTAAGCTTTGACCCCCTGTAGCTTCGCTATTGAACGAGATCGGACTAATGTTTATATAAACTTTTTTGATTAAAATGATGTAATCTATCTTCCATTTCAGTTTTTGCCTTAAAACCTGAATCACCCTGTCTACTGAATCAAACATTGAGCAGGGGAGCGCGAAAATATGCATGGGCTTTGGGCGCCTTCAAATGTTAATCCGCCCCTGATTACACACGTTTTCTAAGACATATTTTTATTGTCGCACTACTTTTTTTGGAGGACAACGCGTGTTAAGACTTTACCAACAAGAATGCCGATTGTTTTTCATTCTTCCTTTTCATTACTTGAATCGACAAAATGGAAATGGAATAGTTTTTTTTTCGAATTCTTGGAATCCAAGGGTTATGACAACCCATATATCTAAATTAATATTCAAATGAAATCCCTGACATTTCCTAAATAGCAATCATTATTTGTGCAAATTGTTGATGATAACGATTTGATATATACACCTTGCAATCGTTACAAAAAATCCATCGAAGAAAGAATATGGGTGTAAAAGTAGTGATTTTCGTTTTATCGTTATGTATTTTCGAAAGCATAGAGAAAAAGAATAAGATCCATTCGAGGGTAGCAGTGAGTACTTTTCAAGAAATCAAATACATTTAATCGTCAATGTCATTTATTTCATCTATCATGACTAAATGTAGTAGTAGCAAAAATATGGATTTTTTTATAGGCAATCAAAAAGACGAAGTGAGTCTTTGTCATGTATTATGCAGAATAGTGCACACATAATCATTTTTCCTATGATAATTTTCATCGTTTTCGAGCAATATTGTCATAAAAAATGGTTTTTCTCCAAACTTTTACTGCCTAGGCAGAAAAAGTTTGTTGCTATGCAACGTCCCAAGTAATTTGGATAAAATTGGTAATCATAATTGACAAAAACTTTGGGTGAACAAAAAATGATGGATTATTTGGACTTTGCGTGAAATTGAAAAGAATTTGGAGAAAACATTATATGTTTCACATGGCACGCCTAGGCTATGAAACAACATCCGTGGCATTAAATCTTGTACTTTTTTGCCTAGTAAAACAAATAACTATTTTTTCCATAATTTCTTCAAATTCATTCTTGTTAATTCCGATGACACTTGGTGGTTCGCCAGTTTCTTTTGGTGTGATTAGATCAGAAACAATGATTCCAGTTAAATTATGATGAATCAACGTTACTGTTTTTTCTTCAAACTATTGAGAATACAACATTCACTTTTGCCACTTTTGTATCTCGCTTAGTATTTGAGGAAACGATAAAATTTCAATGTTAGTGCTCTCAAGGACACCTACTGAAATTACTCAATGAACTCAATAAACAAGTTTCATTCCCAAAAAGTTGAGACTTTGTCAGTAACCAGTAAAACTGGATTCTGCTACCATGAAAGCTTATATAGGAGGATCATAAAAAATAATTAATATACTTCCAACTTCAACATCTTGTATCTCAAAAGCGAAGCAAATCAATTCATGATTATTCACAAGGAAACACCTACTAAATTGTTTTGCACATATTCTCTGAATACACAAATTTTTGTTCCATCTTCAGAGAGATTATATAACGTATAGGTATGTAAAAAAATCCATACTCATATAACTACACTGCTTTGTCTTGAATACAACACTCTGTATTATCGTATTCTCGAAATGTGTTCACATATTTGTAGAGATGTGTAGAATAAAATCGAATGTGTGTTTTATAGGTACTCCCCATTCTAACGCATGAAATAATTACACTGAGTGTTACTCATGGATATGGTTAAATGAATGCAATATTTCAGATTCGGCATGCTAAATATGTGTGAATTATCTGATATTTTCAATGTGAACTCATTTCATTTTCATTGAATAATTATTGCCTGCATTCTCATACCTGTGGAACAATAAATACCTAGCATCAGGTCCGTACTTTCTATTTTTCAGAACACCTATAATTTATGTAATTTCATCAATGAACGTTTTCGAAATATCGACTCTCAAGAATAAAAACCATGTATCTCTTCATTTTCTAAAAATGTATTCATTACACAAACTTGATGTACATCCCATTTTGGGTGAGACAGCTAGCGGTTGTTGTTGAAGATAGGACATCGCGTTTTTTATCGTTCCTCTTCTACTTTTTTGTGAAACTCAAGATGGCCCAATAAAATTTTGCATTACTGTTTCCGTTCATTAGATACAGGTCAATTTTGAAAATGTATACTTTTTTAACCCCCTCTATATCTACGAAGTTTCTCAGCAAAATTTTCAAATGAAATTCTCATTCCAAAGAGTAATTTAACGCAGAATCAATTTTCTTTTTTCGGGGTAATAACCGCGAAATACCTGGCTGTCTCACTCAAAATGGGACATTCGTATATCTCCAATAGTATTCAATAGCTCGTTTGTTGAAAATTACTCCTTCAAATTCAGCTCAACAAATAAACCTCGTACTTATATCATGTGAAAAAAAATTATTTCTTTATTTAAAATCAGAAAGTCGGTGCCGACTTTTGGCACTCCCTGTATAACTGAAGGACTAATGATATTGGTGAGGTAGATTACAAAAGATTGATGATACACTGGCATATACACATTTCCAAGTTTCTAATCCAACTGCAAGTTAGAAAACTTGTAATTATTGAAGTTTATTCTTATTAATGAATGAACTTCTATTCAGTGTGAAAGACTATATTTGTAAAACGTTGAACAAGAAAATTACTGACAGTTTTTTATATCTCTATTCTGACAAATCTAACTTAACGTCAATCAGCAGAGTTCATCTACGAGTGTTAGGAATAAACTTGTTTTAACGATTCAACTTGAAAAGAACAATACTTCAACACTTTCCCTTGTTCATTCTTGTTGAATTTTCAAACTAATTCGTAATATTAAAAACAATCTTCATAAACATTTTCAATGTTTCACATAAGGCCCATCTTCACACATAAGATCTTGAGGCGTATTCTTGTTAATGCTTTTGTCATGATGTCTGCTACTTGATGTTCTGTAGAAATTTGCTGAACGCCAAGTTTTCCTTCTGCCACTTTCTCTCGAATGAAAAAATGTTTCATGGATATGTGCTTTGTTCTGCGGTGAAACTCTGGGTTTTGAGCCAGTCTCACTGCTGCGGAGTTGTCAACTTGGATTATGGGGACATCTTTTAGTTCTATGATTCCTCTGAATAGCCTGTCCAACCAAATTGCTTCTTTGGCTCCCTCGCTTGCTGCAATTATTTCTGCTTCAGTTGTTGAGGTTGCCACAACTGATTGTCGTTGGCTCAGCCAAGATATTGCTCCTCCTGAATACTTCACGACGACTCCAGAAGTTGAACGGCCTGTTTTCACACATCCTCCAAAATCTGCATCGCTATAGACTTCTAAGATGCCTACATCTGTGTTTGTGCAATACATTATTCCAAGGTCTAGGGTCCCTGCAATGTATCTAAAAACTCTCTTGACCCGTATAATGTCCTCTTCATTTGGGTTATCGAGAGATCTTGAAATAAATCCAACACTATATGCAAGATCAGGTCTCGTACCAAGCATCAGATACATTATCGCTCCAACAGCCTGTCTGTAAGGAAATTTCGGTGCCTTGACAACTTTCCCTGTTGTAGAAATTTCTGCACACTTGAGCATTGGTGTAGAAACTGCTTTGCATTCTGAAAAATTGAACCTTTCTAGAATTTTCTTTGCATATGACTCCTGACAAATTCTGATAAACTCTTGTTTTTGTTCAATTTCAAGTCCCAAAAAATAATCGGCTTTCTTCGAAATAATTTTGAACTCTGATTTCAATTCTTCAATGAACTTTTCCAATTCTCGCAGGTCTGTCGCAGCTAGAAGTCCATCATCCACATATATCACAAGAATGAGTTTTCGACTATTTCTATCTCGAATGTACAAGCATGGATCAGCATCACTGGCCTTGAATCCATGTTGTTGAAGAAAGACTCCAAGACGCTTATTCCAGCATCTAGGTGCTTGCTTGAGCCCGTAGAGGCTCCTCTTTAGTTGGCATACCTTGCTGGTTCCGTCTTCATATCCTTGTGGCTGTTTCATAAATATGGTTTCTTCAAGTTCTCCATAGAGAAACGCTGTTGATACATCGAACTGTACCAAATGCATCTTTTCACTTGCTGAGATACTTAGAATTGAACGAATTGTTCCCATCTTAGCAACTGGACTGAAAGTTTCTCGGTAATCAGTTCCGTGACGCTGACTGAATCCTTTGACGACTAGTCTACCTTTGTACTTATTGATACTGCCGTCGGGGTTTCTTTTGAGTCGAAAGACCCATTTGCATGGAATTGCCTTCGCACCTGGTGGTAGATCTGTCAAAATCCAGGTCTTATTCTCATTCAATGAGGCAATTTCACGATCCATGGCTTTCTTCCACTCTGCTGAATCCTCACTCTCTAAGGCATCTTCAATAGTCTCAGGATCATCTGTCACTTGATTTATAAACTCTTCCGCTATCATGATGTAATTTTCTAGATGTTTAGGCTTATTCAAAATCGATCGATCTCTCAAAATTCTTCCGGATCTCTGTTGAAAATCGCATTCATTCTCGACTAATTCCTCATCATCATGTTCTTCTCCTTCGATGTCTATCTGGTCATCAGTATCATGCATTGGTAGCTTGACTTCATGATCACATTCTTCCAATTTTTCTTGGAATCGAACGTCCCTCGAAAGGATTACTTTGTGGTTGGTAGGAATATAAATCCTGTAACGCTCATCAACATCATATCCGACAAGGATTCCTTCCACTGCTTTCCTGTCCATCTTTTTCCTTCTCTGAGCTGGAATGTGGACGAAACAGGTAGATCCAATAATCCGCATATGTTTGATTCTAGGTTTCTTTCCCATCCACAGTTCATAGGGACTGACTCCTACTTCTGACGACTTTCCTGTTCTATTCAGGATGTAAATGGCTGTAGTCACTAGCTCTGCCCATATCGCATCTGGAAACTCAATTTCACAATTGGAGTATTTGAGAGTCCTTGCCATTTCTACTATGGTGCGATTATCACGCTCACTGCCGCCATTTTGCTGTGGCGTATATGGCGCTGTCAGTCTCTGCATGATTCCGCTCTCAGCAAGAATGTTTTTAACATCTTCACAATCGAATTCCCCTCCATTGTCACTAAGTAGCTCACGAATGTTGTGCCCTAGTGTCTTTGCATATGATAAATACTGTTTCAATACAATTTTAACATTTGACTTATGCTCAATTATGAAACCATAACGATACTTCGTGTAACTGTCTTTAAACACTACTAAATATCGCTTTTTACTGAAGGATTCGCAAAATGGCCCTACAACATCAGTCGAAACTAGTTCTCCTGGTTTCGTTGATTTCATCCTAGTGCCAAAAGGTAAACGGTGTGATTTGCCAAACATACAGGGTTCACAAATGTCCCTTACAATCTTCACGTTGATACCCAATTCTCTTTTGAGCATATCTCTCACGTGTCGTTTGTCTTGGTGACCCCATCTCTCGTGATAAAGCTGCAGTGTCGAGTGTTCTGTTTCAATTGTATTGACCCTCTCTACTTTCTCAGGTATCACTGGTTCAATGGTTGCCCTGTACAGGGTTCCTCCAACTTGACGACTCCCACATAATACCGTTTTTCCATTAACCTCCAGCCAGCATTCAGTCGCTGTAGACTGGAATTTGCTGCTTTCATTCTTGTCTTGAGCTGCTAAGACTGAGAATAAATTTTTCGAAATTTTCGGAACATACCATACATCATTCAGAGTCATTCTTAGTGTATTTTCTCCAGTGAAAGATAAAATCTCTATAGTTCCTTTTCCAATAGCTTTGAGAGCTTCTTTCCCAGCGGCTTTGATGACACAGGAACTTTGAAACTCTTGGAAATTAACAAACTGGTCCGGACAATTCGTTACGTGCTTTGTGGCTCCGTTGTCAATCCACCATCCTGTTGAACTTGTCTCCACTTGAAGAATATCTTCACTAATAGAACATAGGGCTACATCAGAATCCAGTACATTGCTCTGAACAGCTTTTTCCTGTGAGGAAACGTTCTTTCGTGGAGGCTTTCCGTCTGCAATCCACTGCGAACATGTAATGATCCAATGCCCTTTCTTTTTGCAATAATTGCAAGTATCATTTGCTCTTGACCTGTGATGTGGCTTTGATTTTCCATTTTTCACGAATAATGCATCCTCTTTGATGACACTATCTGTTACTTTTCTAAAATTTCTTTCATACATACACAACTGGGTGATTAACTCCTCTACAGTCTTTTCATCACTTTTCGACAATAACATCCAACTGGATCTGAAATTCTCGAAATCAACTGGTAGTATATGCAAAACTTTGCATACTAGGATTAAATCCGGTAGTGCATTTTCATTCTTCGATTTTAAACCGTTGTTGAGCTCATTCCAGAGGCTTCTGAGTTTTGCAACGTGGGTCGAAACATCCTGTCCATTGATCCAACTAAACGCAAAAAATTCTGTACATATTTTGAAGAGTTGATCTTTGGATGACGCTTCAAAATTCAATTTTAGAGCTTCCCATGCTTCATGCGCTGTGTCGTTATCCATTATCTTTTGATATACTGAGTCGGTTACTGAACTCGAAATCATTGATTTTGCATAACTATTTGCTTTACGGAATAAATCACTAGCCTTCTTATGCTCTTTGATTTGGTTTTCCGATGCATCTTCTGCCAAGGGCTCAGGTTTCACTAACCTTCCCTCTATAACATCCACGGCTCCTTCGTGGTAGTCTAACAAGTCACGTAATTTCCTCTTCCAAATTGGCCAATCTCCTTCTCCAGCCAAAGGTTTGATGTGCTTCGCCAACTCCATATTCTGAATGCTAAGACGACGAGACTTCACAATCAAAATTTACTTCAACGTGATTTACACAGGAAAAACGATTTCTTCCGCAGTCTTTCGCACACGCTATTTAGTTAGTACCAACTAGCGTAAACTGGGTCCATAACCTATTGAAGTTTATTCTTATTAATGAATGAACTTCTATTCAGTGTGAAGTTTTTTCTTAGACCCTGTATTACATTGGTATGAATGAAAAGTGAGCACTGATTCAAGGAAATCGTATAAAATTATACCAGGAACGTTTTTGAATGGCCAAAATATGTGGGATATTTAAGTGGGACACCCTGTACTTATACAGGGTGATTAATTAGGAATGAGAAATTTCTGAACAGATGGTAAGCACCAAAATATGGAGATTTGACAACATGCTTCATATGTTGCATTCAAGGGAAAATTGAATTATTATACAATGTTCCTTAGCTTTGGTCGTACATTTACTTTAAAATCTTTAAAAAATTGTAGGCGTTGTTAGTAATTATCATAAAATTGATTACTGTATGTTTTCCTTTGTCAATGTATTGAAATGTTATAAGTAGAAGAAGAATCTCTTCAAAATAACGCAAAAACCGTTATAGGTAGCCAATTTGAAGAAGATGACTTTTTTATGTACAATTGAACGGGCTTTCAGAATTTTCACTTATTTTGATCATCATTGAATGGACAAAGAAGATATTATGTAATTTACCGAAGTAACTGAGTGACACTAGGCCCCTCTATGAGCAATCACAAAATAAGTTGCAAATACGTATTCCTCACGTCACTACCATCAGATTTCATGTTCATGCTCTTAAAACTTACAAAGTTATCGAGAAGTATGGAAATAAAATCTCCCCCTCGAATACCCTGTATCTCCTGAACCAGCAACCTAATTATCAGGCATATTAGGCTAAATCTCAATATTTCAGTGTTAACCATCTGTAGTTCAGAGATTTCCCATGGTTAATGAAACACCCTGTATATTTTATTCAAGGATGAAAATGGTCCCATAGTGAATATTGAAGATGGCGCCATTCTTGGCAGAGTCGATAAAACTGTGGATCAAAACAAAACCTATCTCGCCTTTCAAGGTATACCCTACGCCAAACCACCAATAGGCGATCTGAGGTTCAGGGTAAGTTTTCGAGCATGCAACTTTGCCTTCTAACGATTTTTCTGCTAACCATCCGAATTTGATCATATCACGAACAGATAACGTTGAAACCTCTCCTATTCGTATACATAGGGTACCTTGGGCGAGACCTTGGGGTAATAAGGCCCGGCCGGCGAAAATACAGCCCACCCTTTTTTTCTTGGACATGAAGCGTCATATATCAACCAGTGGCCTAAGCTTATTGTTTCGCTTACTGTTGTTTAGGTAATCAGGCGCATTGATCTGCAAAAGATATCGGAATTTTCGCGGTATTGCATTTTCGAAGTGCGTTCGTTTCAGTGTTTGTTAGGTAAGACCGGTGAGTACATTTACAGCATTGAACTTTCTAGTTATAGATATAATTTCACCGTATAAGACCTAAATATTGTTTTCTGGTTTTTGATACATTACCTCAAATGTTTTTCCCTCTATTTCTTACCGAGCCATATTAACTCTAAAGGCGGAAATATGGCCCATATTTTTGAAATTTTTGGTGTTGTTTTATGTTATGAGTAGCCTTCATTCAGAATGTATTTTTGATGTTATTATTGGTTTATTAAGATTTTTGCAAAAAATTAGTAGCTTCAATCATATTAAATAATTCTTTTACGGGCAACATGGTTGAACGTGTGCCTTAATACACCAATGTACCTCATACCAGTTAGTATGTAAGATAAATCAAAAAAAAAAATGAAAACGAACCGCAATACATATTAAATAAACAAACCAACAACAAACAGAGTTTGTATGTAAACAGAAAGCAAGTGGATAGGAAATCACAAAAGTGGAGTAAAATTTCTGTAAATGATAAAGAGCTTTACCTACGGCCACTATAGAAAGTAGGCAAGAACACCAAACTTTTTTGATGTACTATACAGGGTGTCCGCTAAAAGGAGGTCAATCCATTAACCATATATACCTTGAACAAAAACAATATGAGTTTCTAAATACAATTTTTCCATTTTTGCTCTTCATATTCGATATACAGGGTGTCGAAGTTGGAAATTGAAAACTGTTTTTTTTTTAATTACTCGCGTATTTAATAAGATATTAATCTCAAAATTGGTACAATACTTCAGCCCAAAGAGTTACATCATGTGAGGAAAATAAAACAGAAAATAACTGTCAAAAATTCAAAATACTGGGGGTCAAGTACACATCATTTTTGAGTAATTTTTGTCTCTTGTAAAATTTTGTTGAAATTATTTGTTTTTAAGATAATTCAAAAAGTACTGATTATTGTTTGATGCCTAATGGGGCTTACGGTAATCTCATAATGTTTACATACTCCTGTTTATTTCGTCGAAATTGGAAGAGGGCGTAACTTCTTACGTACGAAAAGGTAATATGGAAATACCGGGTGCCAGAGTGAATGTATTGTAATAATCTTAAAAAAACAGTATAGAAATTCAACACGTCTAAATAAATTGCTCGATATGACCTCCAATTTTTGAATACACATGCGAGCCCTTTTAATTGAGGTGATCTGCTATTTCTTTCATCAAGTAGCTATTCAAATCATTGATATCATAATTTCACCTGAAATTTCCGAAAATATTTTCTTTAAATTTTTTCCGATTTTATTTTCCGTTTCCCGTATCTTAAAAACAAATAATTTTTTCGAAATTTTACAGGAGACAAAAAATACACAAAAATGATTGAACACTTGAAGAAAAATAGATAGGAAGTCATTAGCGCACGTACAAAAAAAATATGGGGGTAAGTGTGTACTTGACCTCCAGTATTCTGAATATTTGACAGTTATTTTCTGTTTTGTTCTCCTCACACGATGTAACCCTTCCTGCTGATGTAATGTACCAATTTTGAGATTAATATCTTATTAAGTATGTGAGTAATGAAAAAAAAAACAGTTTTCAATTTCCAACTTTGACACGCTGTATATCGAATATGAAGGGCTAAAATGAAAAATTGTATTGAGAAACTCATATTTTTTTGTTCAAGGAATATATAAAGTATAGTACTTAATGCGTGTTGTAAAGCAATTACGCACTCATGGAATTACGCACTTGCCGCTCCTCGGCTACGTACGTAACTTTTCCATTTGTGCGTAATAAGTATGCTTCTTACAACACATATTACGTAATATACTATACCGCTAATAAGCCTTCGTAGTTTTAGTTAGTAATAATTTCCATGTTAGTTTTTCGCGTTGAATATAACTTGGAAATTGGAACTTTCTTGTTGACTCATTTATTTGATTTATTATAGCCACCAGTACCAAATGACAAATGGAATGGTACCTTGAATGCCACTCGAGAAGGATCATCATGTGTGCAAGGTATTCTACCTGTCACAGGATCTGAAGATTGTCTCTTCATCAACGTTTATACCACTAATGTGAGTTTTTATGCCTGCAGAACACCTAACTATAGCAGATATTATTATAGAAGATACGAAATCGAAAGCTTTGACGCCGTCTCTGAAGTACGATTGTACGAAGGCCCAACTTTGAATAATACCACCGTATACACGGAGAAATATCAAGTTCATACATCACCCTTTTTCTGTGACGGAAAAAAAGTTTGACAGGTTATGAAATGTCACTTTTGCACTGTTCATGGGTTGTGTTGTGTCAGTTCCGGAAAATAAGCCAATAACACCGTCTCGGAGAAAGAACTGAAAGTCCTTTTATTCTTCCATTCCACTTCGCGGTTACGTACATTACCTAACAACCACTGTACATTTTTCAAGTGTGGTTTTTCGCAACTTGAGCATGAAATTATGAAACTTTGAAGCCTCTTGCATAAAAAAGTTCCTCTTGTTTAACTTCGATAAGAAGCACCGTTCTCGAGTAAAATCGATTTGAAAATTACTTCAAATGTCATAAAAATTCATAATAAAATTAGAAAAATTCAAAATTTGAGGAAGGCTATGCACAACCAGAATGTTTGGGAAAGAACAATCAAGACAGGTGACATGAAAATTCATGAAATAAGTGAAAGAAGCATTGTAAATTTATGTAATTTACGGGAAATTACTTATTAAATTTATCTGAGAGACATTTTTTTCACTCAAATAATTGTTCTTTGATTTATGGAAAGAATACTTATTAAATTTATCTGAGCGACATTTTTTCACTTGAGTAATTGTTCAAAGTGGCTTCCATTTTGTTGAATGCATAGTCAGGCCCGACGACTCATAGCTTGAGAAGCACGCAAAATTTGAAATTGGTTTAATGTGATTTCATTTGCAGCCTCATTCATTCTCTGCAGGAGCTCCTCTCGCATGTTCACTTCAGTGGTGTACACCGGCAAATTCAAATTCCTTCAAAAATGAAAGTCCAGTGGGTTCAGGTCGGCTGATCGGGGTGACCAAGCTATAGGTCCATTACGACCGATCCACCGATTAAGGACTTACAATTCGCGCAAAATGAGCTGGCGCCCCATCATACTGATACCACATCATCTTTCGCGAATGGGGAAGACCACTGTTTTTTTGAAACGACATTATCGTGAACTCTATACTGAAAAACTACCAGTGAATTAATTTTGAATTTTTTCATTCATGCTAAGACGATGAAAAAAATAAATTAGTATATGTCCATTTCAAAACACACAATTCCTGCGCCATTTGAAATTTCATCAATTCATTGGTGTGACTGGTGCGACGTCTTAGTCCCAACACGCCTATTGTCCTTGAACTGACCAATTACACTGCAACACTGCAGAATGACGAGGTATCAGAGAGAGATAGCTACAGTTCGGGACTAATACGTCACGACTACACCATCATATTTGGCTGTTTGAAATATCGAACGAAATATGCTGATTTCAAAACGATATAGATTCGATTCCCTTCAACTTTAACTCATAATATTGATTGTACATAAAATGTAGAGCATGATTCGTCGATTGAAAGAGGTTTGCACGGATTTCTTCTCTCAGTGGTCTTCCCCATTCAAGGAAACATCTTCCAATAATTCACCGAGATTATTTTGGAGGAAGTTCAAGTAACCTTGGCATCGCTATATAGCGTTTTGAAATCAGCCAGACATGAAGGTCGAGCCGTGACGTATTAGTCCCGAACTGTAGGTATCTCTCTCTGATACCCTGTCATTCTGCAGTGTGATAGGTCAACCGAAGGACAATAGGCGCGTTGGGACTAATACGTCACACCAGTCACACCAATGAATGGGGAAGACCACTGAGAGAAGAAATCCGTGCAAACCTCTTTCAATCGACGAATCATGATTAACGTTTGATGTACAATTAATATTATGAGTTGAAGTTGAAGGGAATCGAATCTATATCGTTTTGAAATCAACATATTTCATTCGATATTTCAAACAGCCAAATATGATGGTGGAGTCGTGACGTATTAGTCCCGAACTCTAGCTATCTCTCTCTGATACCTCGTCATTCTGCAGTGTGATTGGTCAGTTCAAGGACAATAGGCGTGTTGGGAATAAGACGTCGCACTAGTCACACCAATGAATTGACAAAATTTCATGGCGCAAAAATTGTGTGTTTTGAAATGGACATTCATTCTTATTCATTATTTTCATCGTCTTAGCATGAATGACAAAATTCAAAATTAATTCGCTGGTAGTTTTTCAGTACAGAGTTCACGATAATGTCATTTTAATAAATCAGTGGTCTCCCCCATTGACACAATTTAAAATGGCGCAGGAAGTGTCTGTCTGGAAATAAACATATTTATATTTTTTTTACTGTCCTATAGTATGAATGAAAAAATTTAAAATTATATTTACTGGTATGGTTTTTTGCTATAGAGCTCACGATGATGATGTTTCAAAAAATCAATTCAAGAGAAACCTTTCAAAAACCCGTGAATTCTCCACAGCTCACCGGAAGCAGACCAGTGATGGCATGGATACATGGTGGAGCCTTCCTATTCGGGAACTCCTCCTACCAAAAATTCGGTCCAGACTACATCCTGGACGAAGACATTGTCCACGTGCAGTTCAACTACCGGCTCGGCGTGTTCGGATTCCTCAGCACCATGGACGAGGCCTGTCCAGGCAACAACGGCCTCAAGGACCAGTGCTTGGCCTTGAAGTGGGTCAAAAAGAATATCCGCCATTTTGGAGGCGATCCGGACAAGGTCACCCTGTATGGCGAGAGCGCAGGATCGGCCTCCGTGTCATACCAACTTCAGTCCGCATGCGCGAAAGGTAGGTTAGGTTAGGCGAGGTTGGTAATAATGATTAATACAGGGTGTCCGGAAAGTATGCGCAAAAAATCAAAGAGGTGGTGGTGCATGAGAAAACATGAAATTTATTTCATATACAGGGTGAGTCATGAGGAACTGTACATGCTCCTACTACGAATAGAGGCATCTGAGGGGAATACCAAATGACCATCAGAAAGTGTCTCCGCCTCTTCTAAAATAATCTATAGGGTGATTAATGAGATATGGCAAAAATTTCTTTCAATCATAACTTTCCAACAGTTCTTTCGATTCCTTTCATTTTTTCATGGATTATCATGCTGTCACTCAGCAATCAACTGACGTATTCAAAATCGTGAGAATCCAGGACCGGTCTTGAGAAATTCTGCCAATTTGGTCCATATAAAAAATTTCACCCTGTATGAGGTTTTAGTAAACTGTGATATGGAATTTCTGAAGTTGATGAACAGGCAACTAAAATGAAGTATTGAAAATTTTCCTCACAATTTCATTGAATTTCTTAAAAAATGATTAATTTAAACTACACACGAAACTTGGGCAATAAATGTATTAATTTGAAAATTAATACTTCGCAACGCATGAATTTCACGAATGAAAGTAGGGATAATATCATTCTCAATTCTTCAGCTCAACAATCAACATTCTTCTATTTCCAGGGTTGGATTCAGTAATTTTTTAGTAGAGAGTAATAATCACCAAAAATTACACCCTGTATATGGTTTTAGTAACCTGTGATATAGAATTGTCAAAGTTGATGAACTGGCAACCAAAATTAAGTTTTTCAAATTTTCCTCAGAGTTTCACAGAATTTCTTAGAGTACGATCAATTTTCACTACACGTGAAACTTTCGCAACAAATGTATTAATTTGAAAATGAATACTTCGCACCCCTAGAATTTCACGAATAGAAGCAAGAATAACATCATTTCCTATTCTTCAGTTCACTGAAAATCAACATTCATCTATATCCAGGGTTGGATTCAGTAAATTTTTTGTACATGGTAATAGTCACCAAAAATTGCACCCTGTATATGATTTTAATAAACTGTGACATGAAATGTTCGGAGTTGACAAACAAGAATCAGGAATAATTTTACCCTTACTTTTATTCGTGAAATTCATGCATTGCGAAGTATTAATTTTGAAATTGATACATTTGTTGCCCAAGTTTCGTGTGTAGTTTAAATTAATCATTTTCTAAGAAATTCAATGAAATTGTGTGAGGAAAATTTGAAATACTTCATTTTGGTTGCCTGTTCATCAACTTTAGAAATTCCATATCACAGTTTACTAAAACCTCATACAGAGTGAAATTTTTTATATGAACCAAATTGGCAGAATTTCTCATCAAGACCGGTCCTGGATTTTCACGATTCTGAATACGTCAGTTGATTGCCAAGTGACAGCATAATAATCCATGAAAAAATGAAAAGAATCGAAAGAACTGTTGGAAAGTTATGATTGAAAGAAGTTTTGGCCATATCCCTTAAATCACCCTATAGATCATTTTAGAAGAGGCGGAGACACTTTCTGATGGTCATTTGGTATTCCCCTCAGCTGCCTCTATTCGTAGTTGGAGCATGTACAGTTCCTCATGACTCACCCTGTATACGTGGGTCCGGAAATGCATAGTTTTCAAGATACATTGTGTTGAACTTTTTGAAAAAATCGGTTTTTCATGAATATCTCAAATATCTTTTCACTGATTTTCTTGAAATTTGGCAATGATATTGTTTGTCATGAGGGACTAATACAGCCCATAATTAAATTGGAATTGTGAAATCCAGTGAATTATCGGGTGGGGAGTTTTCTAAGTGACACGACATTTTTCGTAAACTGCTCGACAGAAAATTATTGACTAGTATACCTAAGGGTAAGATCAACCTCTCCTAGAAGGTTGAACCAAGAATGCTGAAACTAATCATTTCAAGTGTCTTCCTCTATAGATTATTCCTGATATATCTGGTTTTTGAGATGCCAGGTAATGTATTATTTTCGGTATATCTTATCAATTGATCAGTGAAGCTTACAGTTTTGAAGGTTTTTGAATACAAGCGACCAGTCGATACTAGAGTCCCTGTATATACCTTAGACAAGAGTCCGGACACAGCTATACTTCTGTCCTTTTCTGTTTTCAAAAATTGCATTGATGATTGAATAAAGGAATAAGACATATATATCGAGCTCTGTCTTTTCAATTTCCCTAGTATCAATGATTGTCAGAAACAATTTTGAGGGTTAGATTTTTTGTCAAACCGTTCATAGCCGTAGGTAGAAGTGAGAAATAGGGCTATTTTAACTTGAATAACTATTAGATCTTCAAATAATGAACAACAAGGTGTTCAAAATTCGAATCGATAATTTTCATAATCAATTCCTTAGATGACTATTGCAAATTTTCGTCATCAGATATTTCTTCATTTCATTAGATATAAGGAAGATAATTTAAGTGTTCTACGTGGTATCACATATAGCCAAGAAAATATAGTTTTTTTCTGTTAGGATATAAAAAAATAGAAGATATATAATTGTTTCAATATAATTTTCTCCGATTCTCCCAATTTAATAACACTCAGCTGAAATAAAAGTGGACTAATGACATAGCACATTGCAATTCCTCTTAATCTTCAGTTTTGATTTCAAACTTTCAATTTCATCCGCATCATCTCATTCTCATTGTCTTTCTCTGCCATCGTATCATTCAGTAATTCCCAATTCGATGACGACGGAACTCTTTTTTGAACGTTCTCTATTTTATAAATTGACGGCACAGCAGACTCTTTCAATTTGAAATCCCTCAGCTTGAAAGAATCTCTATCAGAATGGGCCTAAATTTAATCTTCTTGTACTGTTTTTACAAGTAAATTTGAATATTTGCCTCACATATTGCGGGTTTCTTGAAATTAATTTTCCATTCTGGACGTAGTTTCATTGCATTCTTCCATGACATTATCCATAAAGAATCATTCGGAAAATTGAATAACTTGAATCCCTTTTCTAATGAATTATCGCAATAATGTACGCAGCAGGACATTGAAATAATTTGAAATGCTAAATTTTTGCGGTCATAAAAAAAGCGGGTGGGACGACTATAGTGTTTCGTCACATTGTCAGGTGGGCAAACCAAATGAAACAAAATATTAAAAACCCCAACGGCTGTCAGTTTTGTGTCCGGACTCTTGTCTAAGGTATATACAGGGGCTCTAGTCGATACCATAATTCTTATTTGTCATTGTGATTAGTCATGTGACCCTAACGACGAGTCGATCAAGCCGGTCGACAACCAAAAACTCTACCTTATGAGGAGCAGATTTCAAAAATGGAATATTACACGGGGTGTTCCATTTAAAGAAATAATTCAAGACAGCGCACAGCTTAGCGCATATTAAAAAGTCGAGCTGTCAATTTTCCATGAAGGAGAAGGCTTCCATTTTTTATTCGAGTTCATGAAATTTTCTTCCGATATATCAGGTGGATCAAAAATTCAAAAGGGGGACCAATTTTAGACGGACACTGTTACGCATCATCAAAATCCATGTCAAAACTATACCGGAATAAAGTCAGGTGCACCTTCTGATACTGTAACACTCTAGTAGTTATCACGCCGAGCAACGTGTACCGACTAGCCAATCAGACGCTAGCATTTGGTTGGAGACCACGCCCACCTAGACGTCACGGAACACCACTGAAATGTCAGGGAAAATCGCGGAAATGTAACTGAAACGTCACGCAACACCACGTCACATTTCCGTGGTGTTCCGTGATATTTCCGTGGTGTTCCGTGATATTTCCGTGGTGTTCCGTGACGTTTCAGTGGTGTTTTGTGACGTTTTGGTGGGCCTGGTCTCCAACCAAGGGCTGGCCTCTGATTGACTAGTCGGGTCACGTGGTTTGGAGAAAGGTGGAGGGGAGGGGATGGGCTATAGTGGCGGGATAACTACTCACCCTATACTTATAGGTGATATTTTCCAGGTCTATTTCGCGCAGCTATCATGGAAAGTGGATCTTCCTTATGTTTGTGGGCCCTTACCCGTGATCCCAGAGCTACAGCTTTCAAAATTGGTGAATCATTGAAGTTAAACACCAGCGATTCTAATCTAATGGTGGAAGGACTAAGAATGATCAACGCGACCATCCTTCAACAAGCTTCCCTCATTTTATCAACAGGGGTCAGTCTTTAATAATATCAATCTCCAATCAAAATGTACCGGGTGACACATTATAGAGTACGCACCAACTTGTGACCTTATAACTGTTTTATTTTCAACAGTAGAAAAAAGAAAACAGCCCAACAGTCGACTTTTTTTCTTCTGAGTTCGCTCAATTATGAATGATCATGGGCTATTAGGCTATGTCAATGAACGAATTGAATGGATATAGGTAGCGTAATAGCGAAAATACATATACAGTGTGTCCCAAATTCGATCCTCCCCATTGGTATCTCAGTAACTATGAGAGATAGAAAAACGCTCAAACTATCAAAGTTGTAGCAAATTTAATGTTGAATCAGAATCTATCAAGAAATCCAGGCTAGCTTCAGTCATTCTTGAGTTACTTGAGGAAAAATAGAATCTTGTATTTTTGTTTTTCTCGAATATCTCGGAAACTATTGATTTTATGAAAAAATGATTTCAACATTGTCATAGCACTTTTTGGTATTCTTTTCAATGATTCCGTCAGTTTTCCATCAAAATATCAAATTTCTGAAATATCAGGCTATGCGCATAACTCTCTATAAACAATAACGATTATGTGTTCTGGCACAACTTTCATAGTGTAGGCTTGGAGCGAAGTGACATTTCTGCAAACGTTGAGAGAAAATACAAGTTAATTATTTCGGGGCAGACAATGCCGTTCACAAAAACCAGTGACAGTACAAGGGTTAAGACCTGGTGATAATGAACGTCGATTCGAGTTTTGTCATTGGTTCGTCAACCAGTGTCGAAGAATCGATATCGATATCTCGATAATCAATTTGGTGCTAAATTAATTACTAGTCACGGACCTGCAAGGTCGCCTGATTGTACGCCTCTCGATTTTTACCCGTGGGTCTACGCCAAAAATAAAATTTATGAAGAGCCAATTCAAGATATTGATGATCTACGAGAGAACGATGGACACATCCCAGCACATCAACAGAGTTCATCTGAGAAAAGCAGCGAATATTAAAACGTATCGAGAACAATGGGGGCCATTTCGAGCAGTTCAATTAATTTTTTTCAGTATTTGTATTATCCACCTGTTGAGTTATGCAAGAACATAGAACACAGATTCCATAATCTAAGGTGAAAGTCATGGTGGAATGAAGTAGTAACTAATAACACAACATAATGAGTTGTCATGGAGATAACTTCGATATTATTCATTAGTTACAGAATTCATAGCCTACTTGACATAAAAACAAAAATTGGAAATCAGTACCCCAAATAAAATGGAACTGTGATTGTGATACATCACTAGAAAGGTAATTTTATGCTGATTTCAAATCTGTTGAAATCCAAAATTGAAGTTGTATGTGATATCTCAGAAATTTGACATTTTGATGGAAAACTGACAAAACCATTGTAAAAAACACCACAAAAAGTGCTATAACAATGTTAAACCCATTTTTTCATAAAATCAATAGTTTCCGAGAATACAAGATTTCAGTTTTTCCCAAATAACTCAAGAATGACTAAAGTTAGCCCAGATTTCTCAATCGAATCTGATTCTACATTAAATTTACTACAACTTTGCCAATTTAACCGTTTCTCTATCTCTCATAGTTACTGAGATCCCAACGGTGAGGATCGAATTTGGGACACACTGTATTATGTATCGGGTGGCCACAAAAAAAAGTTCATTTTCCTCGTGGTTCCATCATTTTTGAACCAAATTTCAATTTCTTGAGGTCATTTTGTAGCTTAAGGGTGAAAGTATACAGTGCATTATTTGAAAATTCCATGATTTGTTAAAAAAAATGGTGGAGTAACCCAAAATTTTGTGATTTATAGAAAACGCATGCGAATATAGGAATATGCTATTTTTTCATCATTGGTTTTTACAGAGAATGAGCACTCGAACATCAGAATCGAACAAATTGTCCAGGGGATTGAGTACTTTTCAGCAATGTTATAGAGTAAATGTGCTGAAAAACGAATCTCGACTATTTGTTCGATTCAGATGATCGAGTGCTCTTTTTTTTCAAACAATGAACTAGAATTGCATTGGTTCTGAGTGAGAAAATTAATATTTCCTCATTCGCCAGCGGTTTTAGTAAATCACAAATGTTAGACCTTTTTTTTCCCATTATGAAATTTTCGAATGTTCCACTGTGTAATACAGTTTTCTATCTTTGAAATGGCTTATTTTTTTCATCGAGGTGGTTGAAATCGTTTATGGACACCATATGGGTCCAATCCCCCATATGATAGTGTGGGAGTCCCCTGACTCCAGGTATACCCACTAAACACCCCGTTTGTAGGCTCGCCTGACCGAAGTCTCCGACGACACTTAAGCCTAGTTGCCCATTGTATCTTACCTACATGCCGTTATCAATTCTACCATATACGACTCATGGTGCTTATTAAGGGCCACTTCAATATGAAAGACCCTTTTCGTTCAGGTTCCTGAAGAATACTCTTCCGGTCCCTGGTCTCGTCTACGAAGAAGGCCAAAAGTTTTCCTTCTCCTACGAGTGACGGGGGAAGGGGTTGGTCCAGCCCTGTGATGCTCCCAGCACAGGGCTAAGGCAACTTACTCTGAGACTCCATTTCCCAGAGGCCCCGTTAGCGACACCATACCTCGGTGCCATTCATCCATCACCACGGGTTCCCACAGCTTGGGTTAGGTTGCCAGAGCCTCGTTGACCAGTCCTCGGCCACCTAGACAGACATCAGCAAATCGCCCCATCCCTGCCACAGATGTCCACAAATTGTCCCATCTGGCCCGGATATAGCAAAGATGGTCCCAAAATGCTTCATCCGTCGAGCGGCCGCGGTCTGTCCTCCCCACACCACTTGATGGTGAGGTAGGGCTTGAAGGGGAGGAGGAAAAGAGAAGTTGGTCAAGAAAGGCCGATAGATAGATTGAAAAAGAAATAGAGAAGAGGATATCACCCAAGACAAGTTGAAGTATGGTGAATATCCGTCTGGGGTACCTCGGGTTCACCATTCCCGTACTCACAAGTTGTGAGTCCCTGAGGGGTTGAAATGGCTTAGAGAAATCCGAAATCGATTGAAATTTGATGCAGCGAGAAGCAAAATGATAATACTCGTTATCACGAGATTACCACATTCACTCCATATCAAACTGCGAAAAAGTGAGTGTATTTCTTGGACTATTTATTCGATTTCGATGTTCCAGTATTCATTCTCTTCAGAAATGAATGGTCTGAAATAACATCGGTACAGGTTGGAACAATTTCAATTTTCTTATTCGCCAGCGGTTTTTGTAAATCACAAATGTATGAGATACTCCACCATTTTGTTTTTTCAATTATGGATTCTTCAGATATTGCACTGTATACCCATAGTTCGTATAAGCTACAAAATGACGTCAAGAAATTGAAGTGCAGATTACCGCACAGGAAAGTGTCATTTTCCATTCACTATGCTCAGGATAGCGATTGACCCAGGTGCCGTTCGATAACTCTTGGACATAGTTCTTTAGCATATTTCGACAAAATATTCATAAAAGCTATTTTTCATGAAAAATACCTGAAAAATCACCCCAAAAATTGTTCACCAATCTCGAAAAACACCACAGAATTTGATTATACTTCTCTCTGATTTCTGGGTGCACCAATGTATTGAGTATTAAGAAGCAAAACTTGATTTTAGGATTTGGTTGCAGACCCTTTAGCGGGTTTACAGTTCAGCCCTGTCATCGAACCTCATCACGAAGGGGCTTTTTTCTACAATTACAGTGACCTGTTATTATCAGAGGGTCAATTCCATCGTGTACCAACCATAATTGGAATGAATTCAAATGAAGGTGCTGTAGCAGGAGATATTCCAGGTAAAACAACATCAACATATCCAGAGTGTCCCAGAATGAAGATAACAAAAAACGGTCCTATCAACAGTTGTCCAAAAATTCTTCCTAACGGCGTTAGAGCCCTTTGGAGGTAGGTCCTTAAGTGCAGTTTTCTCTTATTATCCTCGTTACCGTTGATTCAAGAATCACAAAATTCTGTACCGTAGAGTGATTGAATTTTACAAATCATCTCGAAAATATAATTTGATATACAAAGAGTTTAGAAAGTCGTAACCGCGATGATATAAAAATGCTTCGATTTCTTTGTTTTGGGATATGATTTTTCAAACACTCTCACATATAAGCACTCTTGTCAAAATAGGATAACACTAACCTTTTCCATTCAACATTTTAACATCCGAATTTATGAAATTCCGCCAATTTTCATTGCGGATATTTTCTGTACCTACAAATGAACATCACGTTCAAATCTAATGAAACAAATCACCTGACAATTTGAATGGGCTTATATCACAAAAAAAATTTATTCCATAATTCCATAGAACTCACCCAAACTAGCTCACCACCGCAAACCGTTTATCGCTGTGAGCTCCCTACTTTTTATAAAAAAATATTGAAATCCCCGATTTTTCGGACCTCTGAAAACGAGGCGATGATGTGACGTCAAAACCCTAATACTGAAACAGGACTATTCCAGACAGAGATGAATGATACATGATTTCTGGCACAGTGAATTAGCGCGAGATCACAGTTGAGAGAATTAATATATCAGTTGCCTCAGTCTCCGTCCGGCCTTTGGTATTTTCTTTTAACTATGGCGAGATGAGGTTTCTACGTCATAAGAGGGTCCGTTTTCAGATGGTACTATTATTTATGTCCAAAAACTGAACATTCCAGTAAATTTTTCGATCGAATTATGTCCTCAATCATTATTTATGTATAAAAGGATCATTATAAACATGGTTTGAGTTAAAAGTTCTACCAAGGTGTACACGCCCATTATCAAGCTCCTAATTATCCATCACAAGAACAAACGCCCAAATTAGTTATGAACATTTTCGGACATCGAAATAAAAAAGGACACTTTCCAAAAAAACGATTCGTTTAACGGCAGTCGAACAGGAGAAATTCTGTATATAAAAATACTCCTATTCTGGAATATACTCAAAATGAAATAAATCGTGAAACAATATTGGGTCCTTTTTATAGCATTGGTTTCGTACCTCCATAATCATTTCTTCCGTTCCACAGAACGATTTTTGAGATCAAATGTCCCGTATTAGGTATCAGATTTGATGATTCTAGGCTGTGTCAAGTATGTAGTTTGACCGGGCACATACGTTCAGTATGGAGTCTGACCATCAGTTTGACCAACCAGCTGTTTGGGAATATCGGTCACGTTTCAAACCTGCCCGCAAAGTTACCACGTTATTTTTGATGGGAGTCGAGTCAACCATTGACCATCCTGTTATCACCACTGTGGTCGAAAGAATGACTTGACACAGCTCTAATATCAATGGGAACAAAGCTAATTGAATAAAACTTAATTTAAGGACCGATACCTATATACCTAAAGGACTGTAGTCACCTTAGGAACTATTTTCGAACACATGTTGATAGGACTAATATTATCTGTAGAAATACCTCCCGCAGTCAACGAACGTTATTCTAGGACACTCTCTATTCAAGGCGATTGATTGCTTTATGATGATACCTGTAGATGGAGGATAATTTGGTGTTTAAAATCGCCCCCATCGATGTTTATTCAGAGTCTTGTAATACTGAGATGCAAGACCTGATGATGATTCGACAGAAATATTAATGTGATCCCAACTATAATATTGAACCACATTTACAGCTTATTCATACTTTTTGTAGGTATATTTCGATAATATGATGCATATGAAAGCTTAGAGATATTTAAGAATGACTTAGTGATATAAAACCAAGGTTAACATGTGAACTCAACCATGACTAACATGAACTTGGCGATTATTGTTTTTCACGGTTGGGTGGACATATACCTAGTATATAAGTAGCAGAATAGGATAGAACATTCAGTTTTAATCTTCTTCTGAAGATGCTAACACGTGTCAAGGCGTGACATAATCGGTTTGGTTAGTATTAAAACAATGCTTTAATCATTCCAAGCCCACGACAACCTTTTATTGAACATAAGCGCGTCCACTATTCTGTTAGTCCACATATCTCTGATTATACATCTGCTATTTTTCAGAACTTCTTCGTCTGTACCTGGTCAATTTCGACCTCAACCCATCTTTGTTAGCTCCTGCTGATTTGACCAACAGTTCCTATAAGAGAGACATCGCTGCCTTGCTCATCAAATATCATTATTTCAACATACTTCCTCTGAGCTTCCAGACGGATTCAGTAATCAAGGTAAGATATGAATATACAGAAGTGTGTACAAAGAACGGCCATCAGAGCTGTAACTTCTGAATCATTCGAGATCGAAATCTGAAATTTGGTGGGTAGCAACTATAGCATATTGTTTAATCATTGACCGGAAAAGATGTCATTCCATCAACTCCGGTCTAACCGAAAGTGACCCAAACTTTCGAATTGAACCCCCCTGTATATTTTTGCATGGCATTAACTATAGGAGAATAGTTGTTTCTCTCCCAAAATCTACCATTTTATGAACATTGAGTGGAAATGAGCTTTCTGTATTTATTTAACATTTCATTCCACTTTGGGAATTGTGGCTATTCCGTAATTGAAAGTATATATAGTTGAAATTAGAAAAAAAAGCTCTATATATTGGGAGAATGAAATACAGGATGATCCTTTAGAAAACTATTTCATGTAATTCTTCTAGGTTCAAGATGCTTTTTATGCATTTCTAGTAATAGATTCTGGATGCTCATCAAAATACTCCATTTTTGCCTTCTCAAACGTTTCTGTACGACCATTTTAACTGAGATAGCTATTGAGTAAAATATAAACAGTCACCCTGTACATACCCATGATATGTTTCAGTTCATCAGTGACGATCAGTTCAATCGACCAATAAGAAGAATGGTTATCGATATGAGTAGATACTCACCAGTTTATTTTTACATGTTTTCATACGAAGGTCTACTAGGAGGTGTTGAAGGTGAACGAAGTCTTAAGGGTAAGTTTCTGATGATAATAGTGACATCAGGTGTTGAATGTTAATTATCAGCGAATTGACCTTGATATCATTGCTCTATTCCCAAGTTACCAACCACCTGTTGTTTCAATTTGAATCATTCAATACTTGCTGTTGGACATGAAAATGTTCAACAAATGAATCTGCATTAGATGAAACGGAAGCATCCAACGAAAACTTCATGGAGTTCCGCAAGGGCCAGTTTTTGGGCCCCTACTGTTTGCGATGTACACAAATGATATTTCTGTTAGCAAAATCTGGCAGCCCTTTTATATTTGAATTTCTGAATCTTCTTGTTCCAGGAGTTGGGCATACTGAAGAGCTCGGGTACATTTTCAGAAGTTACGTGAACGGAAGGGTTTCTTCAAGTGACGTCACGATGAGGAAACGAATGATAAGAATGTGGACGAATTTCGCTAAATATGGGTAAGAGCAACATCAACTGAATAACCCTCACTCAACTGAATAACACCACAGTTCACTAAAAATTGATGTTGAATTCGGTATCGTATACTACCGTGCCTACTTTATTAACATGTCTAGTCAAAAAAGTTACTCAAACTTGTGTGTAAGATCGTTGAATTCATAAAAAAAATGTAAATGATAAAATATCTAGTTAGTTTGCGTCGTCGTCAACGTGTTGACAACGCTTTAGTTGCTATAAATTTTTTGGTAATACAAAACATAACAGTTGTTCTAATATGCTGACACGTTCCCAATCAGCACCAGATGTCTCAAAAATGTACATTTCACGTCCGACTCACGTCTTTACGTCCAAGGAAGTATAAAATACGTCTCAAAAACGTAAATTCGTGTCAGTCTTTGAGACGTGCAAGAACGTACCCACATCTTGAAGATTACATTTTACGTCCGATTCACGTCATTAAAAACAACCAAAAAGTCGTCTCTTCACGTTTTTAGACCCCGAAAACCCCTCTATAGATACAAATTTTGATTCGAATCGAACCATAATCACAAGAATCATCCGCCATATTGGATCCGCCATTCTGTTTTTTCCATTCAATAATAATGTGACTGCGAATTGTTACCGGAATTATATTTACTTGCCAAATTTCATATCAATCGGACGATTGGAAGTGGATCAAGTAACTTGCTATAGTTTTGATCACAGACAGAAACTTATACGATAATACAGGGTGAGTCATGACTAACCAGCCATAGCCGAATGGTAGATAGAGGAAGTCAAGGTGAGTTGATATATATGTGTAAAAAATATTTTGCCTATTCGTAACAGAAATACAGGGCATTATTTGTATTTGGGGCAAAACTTTGATGAACGATATTTCAGGAACGTCTCGAAGTAATCGCCTGAAATTCACCAGCAACCCAACCTCTACTGATACACCGCACGGGATGGCATACGATGGAAAAAAATTCCAGAGCCGGACTTGGAAAACTCATTTTCTTTTTAAATGTCAACATCTCGACTTTCTGAATCGTATTTTTCAAAAACTCTCATCAGAATCAGAAAGATCAGGAAAAACACTACAAGTGTAGCTTTTCAATTTGTACGGCACACTTCGACCGGATTGGTGAAAAAATATCGAACAAAATACTGATGAACGATTTCATGATTTCGTACTGGCTATTGTAGTCACATCGTTCAACAATATGATTTGAATCCATTTATTGCACATCGGTGTATTATGAGAGTTGGAAAGAGCCTCTATTCGATGAAAAATTCCAGGACCGGACTTACTTTTCTTGAAGAGCCCTTTCGGAACATGGAAATAAGAACCTAATTTTCGAAAAAAAAATCCAACACCTACCTCCTCTCCTATCCTCCCTAAGTACGCACTATGTTCTCCGAACATTATAGGAAATAAAGAAGATTAAAGCTGAGGTAAAATATTTTTTCCGAATCAGATATACGTGTCAACTCATAGTAAAATCAGCGAATCGAATTATGAGTTTGATGTTTTTATTATTCAGAAAACACTACAAAAGAAGACTGTGATGGATGTATGAAAATGGACCTAAATAGGTATTTTTTCTCAACGGGATGGTGCGCCTGCACATTACTTAATACGATTGAGAGAATACCTTGACGAACAATTCTCTAATCGCTGGATAGGTCGTGGCGGCCCTCATTCTTGGTGCCCTAGGTCCCCTAATCTCGCAGTATTAGATCATTATATCTATTAATAAAATTATTGGTATATCAGACCGAAGTCAACACCAGAAAGGAACTGAGGAAGAGGATAGATACAGATTCAGATATGATCAGAAATAATGGCAAATTATTCAAAAAAAACATAAGAGATCTTCCGAAGATATGCAGAAATGTATAGAAGTTGGAGAGGAGGATATTTTGAGTTTTCAAAAACCAAGTCCGGTCCTGATTAGATAATACTTTCTCTCAACTCTGCTGCTATATCAATATGCAAAAAAACTGATTTCAATACATTTATTGGAATGTAGAGTGTAATGGCCCCGACGAAATCGAAGAAATATTCGTCTGAATTTTGTTTGATATTTTTTCACCAATCCGGTCGAAGTGTGCCGTACAAATTGAGAAGCTACACTTGTAGTGTTTTTCCTGTTTTTTCTGATTCTGATGAAATTTTTTGAGAAATACAATTCAAAATGTCAAAATTTTGACAGTTAAAAAGAAAATGAGTTTTCAAAGTCCGGCTCTGGAATTTGTCTTCCATAGTAGGCCATCATGTGATGTGTCAGTCGAGGTAAATTGCTGGTGAATTTCAGGCGAAAAGATCAAGACGTTACTGAAATATTGTTCATCAAAGTTTCGCTGCGAATTCAAATAATACCCTGTATTTCTGTTAGAAATAGGCAGAATATATTTTCTCACATATTTTTCAACTCACCTTGTCATCCTCTATCCGCCATTAGGCTATGGCTGGTTAGTCATGACTCACCCTGTATATTGTGGTGAAAGCTTAGAATATAATAAACGGAACAATCAGAGTAACAGGAGAAATGGATATGGTCTGATGGCTGCACTAATTGCCAAGTTCAGTATACAGTATAAATCGTTGAAAAGGAATATTCTCAGATAAATTATGAACATACAAAAATGGATATATATTTATATAAAGCAATACATTGAGAATTCGCATTCTCTATGTGATGAGAATATTTACTCTTTCTCAGTTGATTCAATAGAAAACAACTACACACAAATGGTTGGAACTGCGCGAAGAAAAAAAGTCTCTTGAAGAGCTACCCAAGTATGGGATAAGTGTGACGCTGTACATCACAAAAGATTGAACATACTGGGAACAGTGGGAACACACCAGCTGACTGTGGAAGAAATACCACAGCTGGACCCTCTCAAAATCCTCAAATTCCTGAAGGAATTGAATCTCGAGGGGCTGCTATAAACAAGAAATCCTTGATATAGCAGAAGCAGATGGGGCACAAAAGATCTAATTAGGTCGCAGCGCATCTGCCACCATCATATCCAACCTACCAATACCAATACCAATACCCAAGTATTTCCATAAATGTTCTTCTCAAATAATCAAACAGGCGAGGTGAACAAAACTCCTGCTCATATGTGAAAGGATCACATCTACAACCAATACAACTTTACGTGTCTCGTTGGTTGCATGCAGTTGCATAGTATTATGTATTTTGTTCTCAATTCCCTTCAAATCCTCTTGTAGGTTAGCAGATAGGTTATAACCTAATTTTCAGAATTATGGTATCTTGTTGAAGAGAGTAATTATGAGTTCGTAGAAAAAGTGTAGTATTTAACGCGTTTATAAACTCTTCTACACACTCGCTTATTAAACACTCGCCTTGCTCTGCTGCGCTCGTGCTTCGAATACTCGTTACTAAAATGACGTTCATTACACTTGTTACATAATATACTATCAATTATTTGCCAAACCTGTACTATACAGCGTGTCCCACTTTAAACGCCCCCCCCCCCTATATCTCAGTTATTAGTCATGCGATTCCAACCAAATTTGGTGTGGTATGGATAACCATCAATATGATCAGTTTTACAGAGATGCACATTATTTTGGACAGTGCCGTGCGTTTTTATTGAACTAAAAAGGGGTCAATATTTCATAAAATCATATCAGGCATTTTTTTACAGGAAATCTAGCCTCATATTATTGTTCCTCATGCTTTAGAACCTCCATATGCAAAAAATCACCTAATTCCGAATTAACAGGATTGGCTTAATTTTTTTCATTTTCAGTCTCGAATAAATAGTGACTTCAAATCAACTACCAATTTTGAAACGTTCAATGGCTCCAATAGGTGAAAAATCATGATTTGGAAGGATAAACGAGTTATTCTTTTTATGTTGAACTCACCGTTTCCGAGTAAATAATTATTACGTTGGCACAACTACTGTTTAGATGTGCCTGTTTTTCTGAAACCCATCATAGGCATCTTATGAAAATCCACATATGTGGGTTCGAAACCCATGAAGAACAATATTATGAGGTCAGTTTTCCTGTGAAAGAATGCCTAATATGATTTAAGAAAAAACTGACCCCCATTCATTTCAATAGTGATGGAGAAAGCCATCAACATTGAGATTATCAAATATCTGGAGAGCTCAGGAATCATCAATGATAGACAATACGGCTTTCGCCACCGAAGATCTACTGGAGATCTACTTGCCTTCGTCACCCATTTATGGCAAGCTTCATTAGAAAAACACGGGGAATCTCTAGCTGTCGTGTTGGACATATCGAAAGCATTTGACCGTGTTTGGCACGAAGGACTCCTCCACAAACTACCATCATACGGCTTACCACCTCAACTATGCCATCTCTTATCGAGTTTCCTTTCAGGCAGATCGCTTCATGTGGTGGTGGACGGTGTATCATCTGATACCATTGGCATCAATTCCGGCGTTCCACAAGCATCAATTTTGGCACCAACATTATTCCTTCTTCATATCAATGATCTGTTGGGAGTAACAACTTGCCCCATCTACAGCTTTGCAGATGAGCAGATGATAGTACCCACCATACTGCGTTCTCTTCCAGAATTCCCATTTCTTCCCAGGAAACTGAAAACTCATGGCGCATGCAGGTCAATGCTTTCAATGAAGACCTTGCTGAAATCACAGCCTGGGGAACCAACAACCTAGTTGAATTCAACGCCAGCAAGACTCAAGCCTGTATTTTCTCTAGAAAGGCGGAACCCAGTATGCCGGACATTGTAATGTCTGGCACCACCATGCCCACCAAGCCCACCATATCTATGCTCGGTATTTCCATCAGCAACACTCTTTCATGGAATAATCATGTCAGATCCATCGCAAAAGCTGTTTCACAAAAACTCGGATTCTTGTTCCGTGCGAAAAGCTACTTTACACCCCAACAGCTTCTCATGATCTACAAAGCGCAGATACGGCGTGTTCTAGAATACTGTTCCCACATATGGGGTTCAGCACCAAAACATATGCTGATGCTTTTAGATTCCATCCAGAGAAGAGCCATCCGCCTGGTGGGTGACGCCACACTCACTCACTCTTTGACATCATTGGAACACCTTAGAAAGGTCGGCGACCTTTCACTTTTCTAGCGATGCTTCCACGGGAAATGTGCTTCGGAAATCTCTGCTATCATCCCTTCACTAGCAATACCAGTCAGACGAACTAGACAAGCCCAGTCAGCACATCCTTTCGTTGTCAACCTCGAAAGATGCCGAACAGCACTTCATCAAAACTCCTTCATCCATAGAACGGCTAGGCTCTGGAATTCATTGCCCGAGGAAGTATTCTCAACAACATATAATCTCCAGAAGTTCAAAAAAAATTCAATACCAACCTCCTATCCCTATCTTTCCTAGGAACGCACGATGTTCTTTGAACATTATAGGGATTCCCTTTCGTGTGCTCCATGCGATAAAAAAATACACGGCACTGTCTAAAATGATGTTTGTCTTTGGAGAACTGGTCATATTGATGATTATTCATTCCAATACAAATTTGGTAAAGATCGCACGACTGATTGCTGATATATAGAGGGGGTCGTTTGAAATGAGACACGCTGTATGTATTTCCATGATATCTCCAATGTTTGATTTTCAACGTATTCTCTCAGGCAACCGACAATCGAAAGAGATCCCCTCCTGCAGAATTTGGATTGGCCTAGGGCACAACCAAGGAATCTAGTCTACATGGATATAAACTCGAGAATGACAATCAGGAGAAATCCCTTTGAAAGCGATATGAGGTTCTACGACAGGATCTATAGATTGTATGGCTCTCCGCCATATAACACATATTAAATGTAGGGGAGATGTGGGTTAGACAGCCAACCTAGGGAGTTCTTTCAGTTTTCGACAAGATGAGCAATCATTTGATGTGTGAATATTATAATAGAAAAAGTGAATTTTTTATGATATATGTTTGTTAGATATTCTGCGAATAATAATCATTAATCTTTAATATTAGATCTATAATCACTGTAACATATCGTCCAAATAACCCCTGCTTGGATGAGGAATGAATATTCTTCAAGAACAAAAAAATTATCAACAGTAATTACACAAGGGGGGGGTAATTTTTTAACAATTTTAACTAGAAGCGCGAATCTTCGATCCTATAGGATGCTCACGACGAAGTCCACGAGTGAGAATTCTCAATAGCAATAATGAGAAGTGCTAATCTATTTAGTTAAAATCATTAAAAAAATTACCACCGTGAATGTAATGCAAAAACGAAAATTCTACAGCGTGTTAGAACAGACTTGTTCGTCGAACAAAACAACCTACCAACAACGCAGTCTATGTGCCTTTTTATGTATTCATTCAAACAAAGATCCAAACGTGAAAAAATTATCGGCTATAATTGCACGAGTGCATAAAAATTACCGATAATTTTGGAAAAGAGCCTGTTATCTAAAAATTGCAAGAGTTCATTTTCATGTTTTGGCGAATGAGCCCGAGTGAAGGAGGAGGGCTCTTTTACAAAATATGAAAATAAACGAATGCAATTGGTATAAGATAACACGCTAGAATGCAAAATTGTCTGGTCATTTTTATGCACGAATGTAATTCATCGGAATATTCACGAAGAAATTCTGTCTGTTGTATTTGGTATTTTTGGTTCACTTTCATTATACTTTCCTATATTGGATTGTATGGAGCACTCACATTTTTATCACTTTTTGAAGTTCATCTGACATTTATCCATCTGACATTTATTTCTGTTGTTTATTGGCGTCTAGCGACATGGCTTTATAAATGTGTTGTTATCTTGCAATCTTCGCTCTGCAGTGCAATTACCGATATATGAGGGAAATATTCGCTGTAACTTGCTACTAACAAATTATCAGTGTGATACCAGAGAATTTGCTAGAATTATGCATTGATATTGGTTGAAACAAAGAAAACATCACATTCTGACATGTGAAAAAAATAATCTTAAAATATCTAACAGAAAACAACTACGTTCCTGGCTGAAAAAATTAGCAATCATTTTACCTATGCATTCCTTAAATCATTGATCTAATAATATATTTAGAGCTAATCCTGATTCATATGTTGTGTGATTGGTACCTATGTACAAAACTTGCAAATTGGCTGGTTTACCCAACAGATATATGGATGAATTGACCTATTGGAGTGGTTGAAGTGGTCACCATGGTGAAATATGACAGGAAGCATTATAATAATCAACTATAAACAAAAAGAGTGTATACATTTTTATGTAGACGAGAGCATTATTCGATTCAACTGATTTTCTGGTTTATTTACACACACTCAATAATTTCAGACTAATCCCAACCGTACAATGTTTTCTGTACTGTATTTCTGCATCACCTACCTACTGATGAAGCAAAGCAAAGAATCAGACACTATATGGAAATAAAAAAAAAATCTTGAAGGTAACGGCTTGTTATCGCCTTTATTGGACAATAAACAATTAAAAAATCAAGAGGAATGATATTTTTGATTCTGATCTCGTGGATAAATCCCCTTACAAACTCAAACAGTTTCCATCAGTAACTCCACTCGACTGACAAATTTCTCATTAGAAAGAAGGATATATCCAATGAAAAAAAAAACCTTCGAATTTACTATTAATAAGAACAGTAAGAGTAGGAAAGAAAATGTTCAGTGGAATTTTATGACAGTGTTCAATATCCTTACTTGAGATTTTTGAGTCTCAGGTCCTGGAATCTCTCTACACCCTGTTCTTCTGATGAAATCAGATCTCGGTAAGTGATATTGCTCGTTAATTGATGAAATTTATTGGCACTCTAGACGTTCTAACAATGCAGTATTCATTATACCCTCGTTAATTACCTCAGTAGGTGTAAAAAGGTGACTTCCCGTGTCTGCAATACAACGACGACCAATAATCCATATCAACCTTGTTGGGGTTGATTGGATAATGAACAATCGACTAATCAAAAGGCATGGTATTTCCAATTCTGATTTCCTGAATAAATCACCTTACTAACCCAAACTTTCTCTGTCAGTAACTTGACAAGAAAATCTTGTCAATTCATTGTAAATTATAACAGAGCAACAGAAATAAAGCTTTGGTGAATTTTTTGAGAATTGTTCAATATCCTTACCTGAGAATCAAGTCTCAATTCCTGGAATCTTTGTGAACCCAGTTATTCAGATAAATCAGATGAAGGAAAGAGATATTTCTTGATAATTGATAAAATTTATTGGCACCTCAGTAGTTGTCGAAGGGCGACTTCCCGTGTTTGGAATACGACGACCAATACTCGATGTTGGTCTTGTTGGGGTTAACGACGGTCGTCATCTCCGCATCGATGTCCAAGCTAACGAGATCGTTGCTGTGCAGATTTTTGGCGATTCAATTTCAGTTATTTCAATCGTTCCTTGCATTGATTATGGCAGAACCATTAATCGAAATCCAGGCTTTGCGTTGAAATTCGGTATGAAGGGTCAAACTCGATTTATAAGCAATTTTTCCAAAAAACTTCTCAGGAATCTCCAACGCGAAGCGAAATATCGAAGATTTGCCCTTTTCGCGGGATCGCAGTAGGCTGGGTCTGAGGCTGTCACTCGGGCTGAGTATTGCGAATAGTGCAACTATACATCTGTACCCAAAATAAAATCTCTGCTTTCGAAAATGACAGGAATACATGGGTCTTTTTCTCTGATTGCTTTCAAACTTCACGCTTTTTTCTGTATGTTGATATAAATCAGTCAGACCAAAGATTTATTTCCTTCCCGATATAGATTCGAGTCCTGAAAGTTTTGTGAAGGTAATAAGAGATATTTTTTGTAAATCAATAAAATTGATTGGCATACCAGATGTTATAACAGCGCATCATTTTTTGAACATAACGTCGTTTGTCACATCATTCGGTGTCAAAAGGTGGCTTCCCGTGTCTGGAATACAACGACGACCAATAATCCATGTTAGCCTTGTTCGGGTTGAAATTTACTTCACCCACATTCCTCCCAAATCCTTGTTATCGCTTTCATCAGATAATAAACGAGTAAATAATCAAACGGCATAGTATTTTCAATTATGACCTCATGAATAAATCACCTTACTAACTCTAACATTTTCCATCTGTAACTCTACTCGAAAATCTTGTAAATTTATTGTGAATGATAACAGAGCAACAGAAATAAATCTTTTTTGAAAAATGTTCAATATCCTTACCTGAGAATCAAGTCTCAACTCCTGGAATCTTTGTGAACCCTGTTATTCAGATAAATCAGATGAAGGTAAGAGATATTCCTCGTTAATCAATAAAATTTATTGGCACTCTAGACGTTCTAACAATGCATTATTCATCACCCTCGTTAATCGCCTCACTAGTAGGTGTCGAAAGGTGACTTCCCGTGTTTGGAATACAACGACGACCAATACTCCATGTTGGCCTTGTTGGGGTTAACGACGGTCGTTATCTCCGCATCCAAGCAGACGAGATCGTTATTGCCTTCCAGATTTTTTCCGTTGGGAAGCCACGTCACACTGCCCAGAAAAGCGTCTTCACGCGGTGTGGGGTACCCCACTTTGGCGAAATCTGCAATTTTCCTCAAGAACTTATTGCCGAGAAATTTTTCTTCGTTAGGAAGGAAGCTTTATTCAGTGACAAAAACTCTTGTAATTACACTGTTATAGCGTTTTCCACTCGTCGCACTGAGTGCTTTTTGCCTGGTCCACTGAGAATTTCAAGAGCGAACTTTTATCGAGAAATGATTTCCACTGGCTTTCAAACTTGCTCGATGTCCGCTCAGAGTTCGAGTTCTCAGAACTGTGCTTGTACGACGGTACGATACACATAACCTCAAATATTCGAGTCACGAGTGGTAAAATGTTTGGAATCGAATAATTATGAATGTCTCATTGAAGTTTATTACTATTATTGCAATAATTTCCGAAATCAAAGATACTTCGGATACAAGCGATGATGAAGAAATGATGATTGAGATATAATCGTTACGAAACAGCATTCACGGAAGATTCAAAATTACCTAAAGGTGAAAGAAAGCTACATCACTATTTTCGAATGATTCAAGTGAACATCATTGACAATCAACATTCATATGTTTCTGGTTGGTTTCTGACAGTGTTCACAGGGAAACCACAATAAGACGTAGATGAAACCATTTCATGTGGACCGACGGAACCAAATGTACATCCAATTATTCAACTTTTTGATTGACAAAACAATTATTCTGATATTTCTGATGACAAGAAGATCGCACCGTCTCTCTATTTCTATTCCACTGCCCTGTGTTGGAACCGCACTTTATATGGAAGAACCGAGCCAGTGTCACTTGTACTTGCTCTGTGCTAGTGCGCTCTGTAAATCGACGAGTGGAAAACGCTATTAATAATAACAGTAATAGCGTATTGGACTGGCTGCACTATTGCGCATTCAAATCCAACTTTTGTCGTGCGTGTGTGTTCGGCTGCACTCAAACAGTTTCAATATTATTTCTATTCGGCTGAACAGGCACTACTCAAGGGTAGTGCTGAATTTGAATTGAGATATTTGATTAGATCTAGCTTGATCCAGTCTTAGCACGTTGTCCTAAACATTATTTATTTATTTATTTATTTATTGAACAAATAACTTCCAGACAGAATAGGTATAAGGAAGTACATAACTATATACCTATAGGTAAACATAGCATCATTCAAAATATATCAACAACTGTAAATTGGCAAACAAAGAATAATACTTGTAAATAAAAAAAAATGGCATGATTAATTTTATCCAGTCCGCTGAGAAATAATCAGTTTTTTTACTTCATTTTTGAATATACCTATATTTCTGCAATTTTTTATATTATCAGGTAGTTTATTGAATTCAGTTAAGGCTGAATGAGTGAATCTTTTTTGTCCGATTAGGGAGCTAGCGGCGTCAAGATGGAACAAGTTATATTGTCTAGTTTCATGATTATGAATTTCAGAATTCCGTATCAGTCGAATATTCATAACGTCAATATTGAACTTACAGTGCCAGAATGATTCGAATTATTCACATGCATCTGCTCTATGAGAGTATCAAAAACGAAGTTCAGGGGGATTTACAAAATGTTCAACATCCTTATATTGAGAATTCATATCTCAAGTCTTGGAATCTGTAATCTGTGTGTACCCTGTTATTCCGATGAATCAGATGAAGGAAAGATACATTTCTTGTTAATCAATAAAATTTATTGGCACGTTCTGACAATGCATTATTCATCACCCTCGTTAATCAGCTCAGTAGGTGTCATAAGGTGGCTTCCCGTGTTTGGAATACAACGACGACCAATACTCCATGTTGGCCTTGTTGGGGTTAACGACGGTCGTGATCTCCGCATCGATGTCCAAGCAGACGAGATCGTTATTGCCTTCTAGATTTTGACCGTTGGGTTGCCACGTCACGCTGCCCAGAAGAGGGTCTTCACGTGGTGTGGGGTTCCCCTCTTTGGCAAAGTTGGTCCACATCCTCACGACCTGCGACCTGACTCGGCGATCCTGTTCCGTCCCGTTGTAGCCGAAATGGAAGACGTAACCCAGGTCCTCGGTGTGTCCGACACCTGTCAAAGTTGAACTCCGATCAGAAACTAGTCTACGAGGGATGTTTCCATAGTTCTGGGAATCGTACTATAGTTAAATTGGGTGTGTACAAAAGATATAAACTGGTCAACATTGATAACGTCGTGGTCCAAAATATAGACTGATTTCAAAGTAGAAATAACTCACGAATTTCCTTATCAATTTGAAATCGGTTTTCACCGATGATTAGCCATCTCTTGACAGTTTGTTGTGGCAATATGAAACTTCTGAAATTTCAGATAACATTGATACAGGGTGATAATTGAATGGGTGTAAAATTGCATCGTGGTCTTCACCTTACCGTTTGAACAGATAATTTTTTTTATTCTTTTTCTCACCTGTATCCTCTTGATTGATGCTTTCTCTCGAAACATTTTCGGAATTTTCAAATTCAGAGCTTTGATAATCGTGTTATGAATATTCATTCAAAATGATGCATTTTTTCGACGATTAATTGAATGAAATTGAAAGTTGGAATTCTTTTTCGAAGAATTAACATTGTATGTCGAGTCGTCGGATATGTGATTGTGTTCGAACACAGAAAACTCTGAAGAAGTCTATACAAAGTGATACAAGAAATGCTGAATGATGTAATGGAGAATAACGTAGTCTTCAGTAGATTAAACATAATTTTCTATGTGTTACTAGTGAAATAATGGAGTGTTACTTCGTCATGAGGATGTCTGGTGTCTGACCTCGAAATGGTTTTGTAATTCCTCGGATCGAAGGCAAGGAAACTCGAAATCGTCTCTACATAATTTGATTCAGATGTTAAACAATCAGGGACATGTTTCAGTCTTATAAGACACCATCTTCAGCCTCATTAGAAGTTTTACAATACAATAATATACAGGGTGTATCTGAATAGCACCGAAAAAATTCAAGGGGCGATTCCTCGTGGTATTTTAGTAAATGAAGTTTATATGAACATGTATCCTAACTTACTTCGTTTTCGAGATACAGGGTATTGATATTTCCATGAAAATTCGTTTTTTTATTCATTACTCAATTGTCATTTCATCAATTCTAATAAAACGTTGTGGTTTTGTTGATAGTAATATGGAGCTTATTCTGGTGCAGTTAGATTCGAAATAATATTTCCAGTGGCGTCACAGTGGGTAAATTTATCGATACTTATGGTGATTGTCATTGATGTATACGCCACCGGTTTCTCTGAGTATCATTTTTATTAGATTGACCTATTGAAAAAACAACTTTTTAATTCCTTGTGTGATCTTTAGTATCTACTTTAGCATTTGAGGAAACAATAAAAATTCGATGTATCTGTTTTCAAGACTTCCATTGAGATTATTCAATAACCCCAATTACAATCGTCAGAATTCTAGTGCTTGAAGATACTCATGCTAATTCAGATTTTTCAGACTTGAAGATGAATTGAACATCAACCTGTCTAGTTATCTTCTCTTCGATATGATTTGTGAAAGAACAAAGCCTCGAAACCAGAAGAAATAATTCCACGAAGGCTTAATTTCTGAACAAGAACCACAAATAAAACCCGATCTATCTGTATGCATAGTGAAACATTCATTGGGTACTTTCCATTTTGAGCCACTCGAACTACCCAATTCTCAGCAGGCCGAGAGCGACTGATGGGAATAAACAGACATTTTGCTCTTTCTGGTAACTAAGAAGACCTTTTTCATCTCAGATCTCTTCCCGTATACCACAATGTCATTCATAGAACGTTTATATGATATTTTCCTAGAATATTCTCACAATATGATACAAATATTCTAGAGAAGTTTTATGAACATTCGGAATGGACTGTTTGAAATATTCTGAGAATATTTCTAGTGTATTGAAGAAGAAGGAAGGAAATCAAGAAAGCTTGCATCCGGTGGAGATGCGAACCTACTATATCTTGTGATTGAATTTTTTCGAACCTGAAACCTTAACCACTTCGTCACGAACCTTATTGATAAATAAAATAAATATCAAGATGACAACACTGAATCAGTGGGATGATCAGCATTGGGGCTGCAGAATATAATAGGTTATGTCAGGGTAAACATTATAAATCTTGATACAAGAATATCATATCATATCATTTATTTTGATACTGATATCAGAATGTTCTCAAAATATTCAATAAGAATATTCTTAGAACATTCAGAAAGAATTCTGAGAATATCTCATATTAAATGTTCATAGAATATTCGCTGCAGGATGAGAATATTCTATGATCATTCTGAGAACATTCTATAAGAATTTTCTGAAATAAGTATATTTGAACGTTGTCAGAATATTCATAGAATATTCTGTGCTGTCTGGGATTAGTTTTGTACTAATTTAAGAATACTAATTCTATAATTTTATTTTCGTAAACAATGATAAGTTACTCACCATCAGCGGGTCTATCTGTGATTCCATATAGACCTCCTTGGTATGAGAATCTGTAGAAGTATACTTTGGATTTTGCCGAGTACAATCTGATCGCTTCTTGAATCGGTCTCTCAAATTGGTCATCACTGACGAACTAAACATTAACAAAATACAAGTAAAATATATATATAGGGTGTTAATGTAGGATACAATTCTTGAATGACATATTCCTGAGACAATTAAAAAAAGTCTATATGCATAAACTTGTGTTCGGGAATACTCCGTTTCGTTTCGAGATACAGGGTGTTGAAATTGATGTTTTCCATTTGAATATTTTTCGTTACTGAAGTTATGATTGTGAACAATAATTTACTTTTTCCTCTCACAGATTTTAGAATCGTACAAACAATTTGTTTTCAAAAAAGGGGCAAGATATTTCAAGAGTTCAAGAAAAGTAAACAGTGAATTTTGATTTGATTGAGAAGGAACATCCTCAGATGAAGTATGAACAGGAAAAAATGGATATATATATAAAGAATTTTTTATGGAAGGGAAGTCGTTGCTGACCAGTACGAATAAAACCAGTGTATATTGGGGGTAGCAGCAGTGTAAAAGGAATACTCTTTGAAGTTTATTCAAGCGTTGGGATATGTTCATTTCCATCATCAGGAATGATCCTTGATGAGGTTGGTTACAACATTGTTAAAAGAAGAAAATTGTAAAATATATAATGACATACTGTGCAAAATTGCTTACGTGGACACATAGGAGAATAATATTTGTATAATTACACTCAACAGTTACTTATTTATTGTAATTTCCGAATTTTGAAATTTGTTGAGAAAAAAAAGCGAAGGAAAAGTTGCAAGTCACATTTCACACATTGTTCAAATTCTTGTCTATTCTATGCGCACTTTTTATTCAGGTAAATATGAACTACAATATATCTCCTGTGACGCCACTGGACCATACAATGTTGATTTAATTACACTCAAGTTTCAAGAAAATTGGAATTTGCATTTTCGCGATATTGAAAATAAATCAACTATTTTTTTGCATTTCAATACCCTGTATAGCAAAACTATATAAGCGTTTCCGGACATATTATGTTCATAGGGTTTTTTTCTCGTCTCAAACTGAAACACCATGTATAGAGATCAAGTGCTAGTTTGAGGATACTTCTCTCTATCAACATTATAAGACAGGAATCTGGACATATACAAGGTGTCCGGAAAGGTCATGTGTTAAATGATTGGGCTGATAGAGTGAGCAAAATAGTACATTATTCATCTAGGGAATAAAGTGATATATCAAATCCCTAGAGAAAAAGTATAATTTGTCGAGGGATTTAAAAACACTTTAGTCCCAAGGTGTATATATCATTTTATGCACTTCAGGAATGGTGAAAGGTTAAAGAAAAAATAACGAAAAAAAAATGTGAATGCTACTAAACGGTAGTTACTCTATTTCTAAAACATCATCGAAGAGGCTGATTGTTACCATATCAACGACCTCAGTAACTATGGTGATCCAGATCATGATTGTCATCGGCAACTGGAAATCTTGGTGGTGAATGTAAATCAAACACGCCACACCGATTAATAGACGTTGATCGAGATGCAACAAATCGAAAAGGCAGCTCAAGAAGCCGAAGGCCAATTATTACCAAGAAAATCTGGAGAACAATATAAAAATCAATCAACTGAGTGTATCAAAAATGAATGAACGGAACGTAGAAAAATGTACAGAAGAGAAGGTACTGCTAGCATTATTCTTGGAAAAGTTCAAAAAGCTTGAAGCAAGAAAAAAAATTACTTCAAATCCCTATAGGGATTAAAAGTACCATTTTTTCCCCGAAAATAGGAAATAAAAGCACCCTTCAAATCCCTGAAGTGCATAGATAATGTAAGTACCTCATATAAAAAAATGTCTATCGCACTTTGTTACGAAGGTATTGACCTCGAAAGTTTCTGCAAGTCCATACATATGCAATTATGGATAATCATCATTACTTAACTCATTCATGGTGTTATCAAAGTATTAAATACTGTCAGAATAACCTGATGTCAATTATGACAATGACTGCAACTACCATGATGATGTTATTGCATGAATAGAGTTTTTATTACCTTTGAAACGGTTGAGATATATGTTTTTGAAATGTGATTTTTTCTGGAACGGTACAAGATATCAATTGAAATGAAAATGAATTATTTAAACTAATTATGTAGAAAAAAGATGAAGGTATCAAACAGTTGAAGCAAAATGTCAAATTTGTCATCTCTGTCTCCATTAACAACATTTACGACATGACCTTTCCGGATACCCCGTATAGTTGCTTCTGAGTCACCTATCAAAGAATCTAACTTACCCGCATAGTTTTTTTGCTAGATATTGCGATGGGTATCAATCCAAAATACTTCCTTTTCAATGATGGTGCAATGAGACTCTTCGTCACGCTTCCTGTATTCATACTTGGAGGTACCAGAAGTGTGGGATTTGTATCGTATTTGGCCAGCCAGACTCTTATCAGAGCTAAATTGGACAACGAAAAACATCAATGTATCAAGTGGAGCATTTATACTATGAGGATTTGATCACATGATAAATAAAGTAGGAAAAATATGGAAAATATAAAACCAGCTAAGTAGAAGCGGAGTCTTCACACCCTGTATAAGTCAAGCAATTCAAATTGAGAGTAAAAAAACGTTGTTCTATGTCAACTAATCCTCATTCAATGCTTCGACGCGTCGGCATTAACTACTTTTCATTTATTTATCATTTATGTAATACAAAAAGATTAGACGGCCCCAAGATTGTGCCTTGCGGTACACCAAACTCAATATTCTTCAAATTCATCAATTTCCGACTGAATTTCTGAATTCTAGCTCACCTGATATTGAGCCAAACATAGCTTCCAAGGATGTGTATCCAACCATGAGAGGAATATCGTGGAATTTTCCTTCCGATAACAGCTCATGAGATTTTCCTGTTATGACAGCACCAGGTAGATCTGGTTCTATAACAGGTCCATACACTAAACCATTCAGTGGATTGCTAGACACAAGTTGCTGAAATGAAAAAAATATGTACAGTGTGTCCAGTTTTCGATGCTTTTGCATGATATCTCAATATAATTCTATATTCTCATATACTCAGTCGTATTAACTATTTGATAAATTTTTGGGGATACTGTTCAAAAAACAATTTTAATAAAATATCTGCATTATATAAAAAGACATTGAAAGTACTGTATCGTTTACCATATGATACACCAACAAATCAATTATATAAAATAACTGAATCATTCTCATTAGAAGAAATGTTCAAAATCGAAAGACTGAAAATTACATACAATATCATAAATAAAAGATTGAAATCTAATTTTATTTTAACACGAAACAATGAAATTCATAATTATCAAACTAGACAACATGGTTTATTTCATCTTGATATCGCTAATACTTCTATAGGCCAAAAAAGATTCACCCACGCTGCTCTCTTGGAATATAACAAATTACCAGATAATATAAAAAATTGCAGAAATACAATAAAATTCAAATACCATCTTAAAAAATTTATCATTTCTGAACGAAATAGATGACTTACTTTTGATTCATATTCAAATTGATTTTTGCTCAGCAATATGAAATAATTTGTCAAAATTTAATAATTAATGTTTTCAAATATTTTATTATTCATCAGTTTATTATAATTGTATAGTTTTAGGTATTATTGTTAACTATACTTCCTTATACCAGAACTTGATTCTGACTGGAAGTAACATTTTCAATAAATAAATAAATCTTCGGAGATAGAACGTTGCGGTTTTCGCGGTCCTGTGCCACTTTTTTGTGAAACTCAAGATGGCCTAATCAGATTTTGCAGGACTGTTTCCGTTTATGAGATACAGGGCGATTTTGAAAATTCATACTTTTTGGACCCCCTCCATATCTACGAAATTTATCACCGAAAATGTCAAATTGAAATCTCAACCCATAGAGAATTTCATGCAGAATCCAGTGGCGCACAAAAAATTTTTTTTGGGGTGTGGTTTTGAAGATACGACTCAAACTTATGATGACTTCATGGAAAGAAGGGACTTCTGACTGGAAAGGTTTGTCTCGAGGGGGCCCTAAATGATTTTGGCGGGGGGGGCCAAAATATGAAGTTACGTCACTGGAGATGTCGATACATTGAACCTCCACTGTAATGTCCTGTTCACATATGGATAAAACTTTCAGCGAACAGCCGATGTCTGCCGCAGGCGGCGTTTATAAAGACGTCCTTAAAAATACATTCTCCCTGGTTTTTCATAGCCTTTTCATGGAGACAACATAACAATTCCAAAGCGTTTTGCGCACATTCAATCGCAGCAAAAAAACATTTCTGGTGAGTATACAGGGTGATTCAGATTCAAAGGCACAAACTGAAATGGGTGATAGATCTAATCATTTTTCATCAAAAAAGTTCATATAAACATATTAGTCTGATCCCGATCAGAAGCAGAGCTACAAGGGGTCGAAGTTTAATGTGTTTTTATCGATTAAGATATCTCGCTCACTTTAGAAGATTTCAAGTAGAAGATCATCATTTTGAGCATCTTATAGATTTGCACAATCTACAGGGTGATACGTTTTTGGAGGTAGAGGCTTCCTTATCTCCCACAAACTTTATCGTCGTACACCTCTGGCATCTTGCAGTTATGAAATTCCATATATCGTTTAATTTCTGGGTTTTTTGCCTTTCAATTTTTTTTCGCCTTTCAATTTCTTTCGAGGTGTGCCCCGAGGCATATAACTTCCAGGAATGTGAGAAGAACACCAATTCCTACCTCATTTCCCTTGGTTCTCACGATGTTCGCTGAACCTTTTCGTGGGAACCAGAACATAAAAAAGTAGCGGATATACAAAGGGTACAACGTGAAAGTTTTGTTTGTTCAAGAAGAAAAAAAAACTAGGGGCTCAAAGTCGGTCGACCACACTTCATATAATAGTATAGTAACTAACATTTTACATATGTAACCGGTTTCGGCGCTACGGCCATCATCAGACAAATACTAAGTAGCGAACAATACAATTTAAACAAACATCACTGGATAATTAACAATCATGCCATGGGTTGAGACACGGGCAATAATCTTGTTTGTTTATAAAGTTGCTTGAATTTTCTCCAAGAATGAAATTTATGCGAAATGTAGACAAATTCAACATGTTTTAGAACGGATGTGCTTATTTATTTCGAAAACGGTTCGTTTCCCGAAAAAATTTACGAGCAATAAAAGTCTCTGAATTGAACAATTCACATATACACACACAATAGTGAATAGATGATGTCAGAGGTGCACTACTAAAAATGTTGGGTGGGATAAAGGAGCCTGTGCCCCAAAAAATGTTCGACCCTGTAGATTTAGAAAATATTCAAAATGCTCCAAATAATGATTTTCTAAGAAGTAACAACCTCACTGAATCCCAAATTGATATCCTGAATAGTGAGTAGAAAATTTTAATTAATAGATAAAAATTATTAATCTTCGACCTCTCGTAGATCCGCTACTGATCGAGATCGGACTCATGTTTATAAAGACTTTTTTGATTAAAATGGTGAGATCTATCACATACTTCAGTTCGTGCCTTAAAACTTGAATCACCCTGTATTTTATAGAAAAAAGAAGAAAATTGAATAAGAGCTTTCTTTCCCTGAGGAATCAAACCTATCTCTCTTGTGATTGAATTTTCAGAATCTTTACACACCTTGTCCACTGCGCTATTGCGCATTGATGAATAATATATAATATTATAAATATTGATACAAAAATAACATCCATATCATACATTGATACGATTGTGTATATTCTCAGAATATTCTGAGAATATGTGGAATTGAATGTTCATGGAATATTAAGGATGAAAATATTCTATGATCATTCTGAGAACATTCTATCAGAATATTTTGAAATAAGTACGAACGTTCTGAATATTGCCAGAATATTCGTAAAATATTCTGTGCTCTTTCGGATATTATATTACGGATTAATAGACGACAAGTCTGGTCATTTTTAATTAGAATGAATAAAATACCTATACCTATATGAATATACAGTGTGACCCATTTAAGATGGAAGCACCCTTATAAAACTTACATTTTTCAACCGATTGGAATGATTTTTTTTGTGTTAGGTAGATATTCAGAAAAGTCTATTAGGACACCAAATATCATGAATAAATCTCCATTTCCAGGGCCAACTAATCTGATTTTTCAAGGTCAAAAATCTAAAAAAATTACTAGCGATTTTTTTAGAAAAAATCTGACTACACCACTGGATTTGTGACATTTTCAAATGGGTAACATGTAAATTACGTTGAAATGCGTCAATCGATAAAAAAGTTATAAAGGAATGAAATTTGAAAAATATGCCGTTTAATCAACCCACCAATTCATGTTCAGGAATTTTATGAAAATTCTGTATACTCCACTGGATTCAGGATGTCTTGAAATATTACTGATCACAGTTTCATCGAAATCTGTTCAGTAATAAAAATTGATGGGTTGATTAAACGGCATATTTTTCAAATTTCATTCCTTTATAACTTTTTTATTGATTGACGCATTTCAACGTAATTTACATGTTACCCATTTGAAAATGTCACAAATCTAGTGGTGTAGTCAGATTTTTTCTAAAAAAATCGCTAGTAATTTTTTTAAATTTTTGACCTTGAAAAATCAGATTAGTTGGCCCTGGAAATGGAGATTTATTCATGATATTTGGTGTCCTAATAGACTTTTTGAATATCTACCTAACGAAAAAAAATCATTCTAATCGGTTGAAAAATGTAAGTTTTATAAGGGTGCTTCCATCTTGAATGGGTCACACTGTATGTCATTGCTTCTCTTCCGAGAGAAATCAGAGGTTGTTGGTATTGTAATATTCGAAAAAAAAGACACTGCAATCGCGAATGCGAACAAGAACAACAAAATTGGAAACAAATCAGAATTCATCGAATTGTGACGTGAGCATGAGACATCGTGGTGGGGAAAACAAAGAAATGGAACAGAATAACAAAAACAATACTCCCAATATTCTTCAAAGACCTCTTTGGGAAGTGCATATTACATCTCAAAAAAACATCTTCATGCCAACATTTTCAAAACATCCCAAAACATCCCAGAGATGTTTGTGCTCGCTGGGGAGCCATCGAACATCGAAGACGGCATCAAAGCTTTCGCATCTGGGAAGTTTGGTGATTAAAGAACCAGCATTTCTTGAAAGCTCAAGTCACTAATACTCAAATTCAGTTTTCTTCCATACGGTGGATATTAAAGTCTTTAAAACAGGCGCAATTTTTCGAGCACGACGAGAATTAATGTTCTGTAAAAATTTCACAAACGATAAGATTACCATCTTGTGCGTACTCGGCCATCTTGACGTATTGGAAAAATCACTCGACCGCTTACTATTACTTCTCTATGTCACATCGAGAGAGACGTTGAATCTACTTTCTTCCGCTATAGATGGTGACTACTGAGACGAGTGTGAGGAGTGAAAATAAAAAAGAAAATGGCATTTTAAGTTCGCAAAACATATGCAAAAGTGGGTTTTATTTCCCTCAAAACTTGAAAAATCTGCGGCAATTTCAAAATTGACAGATGTCATAACTGTGCAATATTGCCATCTTCTATGAAATCGTTGAAACTATTTTCGAGAGGTCAAGAAGAATTTCTAAAAAAAGAACGCATCAGAAATTACACCATCTACTTATTTCCATCATTGTCAGAAGTATAACAGCACTCATCTGTACTCTGTATACCTTCGTCATTTCTGAGCTGGCAGTGCTTTGCAACAATTCGGCGCTAACGCTTCTGAGTCCCTGGACCATTTCCTCAGAAGATTTTCCAGGTATTTCCAAGGCACCAGCAATAGAACTGACTAGAGCAGGTGCAGACCTCGACAATGCCCAGGAGCTCAGAGAAGAACCAGACTGGATGATGGCTTTTTGGAAGAGACCTGTGGAAACAGAGATATTTCCCAATGAATAATATTCTGGATGTCTGCAGATGAAGCAAAAAGGAAGCAAAATGTGTCGCAAAATTCAGGTTTCTTCAGTAATGATTGATCGTATACAAATTGAAAAAAATGAAACGTTTTTTGACAACTGCGAAAATTGAATATTACTCTTTCTCACTCAATTTCCTGTTTTTTATCACTTAACTTTCCCAAAGATGAATATCGTTATGTGGACAACAAGTATGTGCTATAGCTTGGCATACAGAAAAGTGCACAAAAACGGCCAGTGCTATAATACTTCTGAATCATTCGGGATCGGATTTTGAAAATTGGTGGGTAGCAAGTATACCGCATCGCTTATTATATTGACATAACTATTTTTGTTGAATCACTTCCGATTTCACCGGAAAAGACCCCAACTTTTGATTTTTAAATGAGATTCCTGTATTTTATTCCATACTCGGTTAGGGATTATCATGACGAATTCAACGATACCAGGTTTTTTTTTCATAAAAAAAAAACAAAAATACAAACCTGGCATAAAATCTTTATGCCAACGACCATTCAATTACTTGGTGCCAAAGCTATAATAATACCTTACCAGAAAAAATCGAATCAATTTCTATCCAAACAATTTTCAAAAACAGATTGAAAAAGTTCATTTATGATTCGCCTAGAAGGTCAATTATTAGAGATTTGATTGAATTAAAAAGCTGAAATACATCTATATTTCTCGTATGTCTTGTGATTTTATACATAGGAATATTAAATTTGTATCCTCACCTACATTAATTCTATTTCAACATTGTTCATACATTTTTTCGAAAAATAGTTGTTATTTTAATTTTGTTTCATTTTAGTAATAATATGTTTATATGATTTTTGAGGAAAATCAGTACATTGACAAATTCTCATTCATTACTTGGATAAAAGAGGATCACAACTAATATTATCAATAAAGGTACAGTATAAAATGTACGGCTTTCTTTCATCTCCACTTTTAGGGTTCTAATTTATATACACACATTTTCGTACACACTTCTAGGTATTCATTTGTATTTGTATTTGTATGTATTTTAATCGAAACAAGCATGAACATACTTATCGATTAGCGCATCATTCATACTATAGTCACCCTATATACCATATATTGAATTGTTTCTTGTATAGATCAATTAATGATATAATCATTATTATTATTATTATTATTATCTCAATGAACCCTTGTATGAAAACACAATCGTTCGCACCTTTCGTCTCATTGGTCTGCAACAAATAGGAAATAGCGGCAGCCCCAGCACTCTGACCAAAAACAGTAATCTTTTCTGGATCCCCACCGAAATTCCTGATATTTGCTTTGATCCATTTGAGAGCCAGGATCTGGTCCTTGATCCCGTTGTTTCCTGGCACGACCGAGTCCCCGGTAGACAAAAATCCAAAGACGCCTACCCTGTAATTTCACATCTGATTAGGATTTGAAATTTAAATAGAGATTTTCATGTATTTTACTAAAATTCCATGAATATGAAGTTATTTCAATTCCCATAGGTACTTATTCTCGAATTCATGTCATTCATCCAATCCCTATGTCCAAAAATAGACTCTTTCTTCTTTGCTTTGGATTCAACCAAACAAAAATCGGCATCATTTGGCAGGTAACGATGACCTGATATTAGAAATTGGTGGTGAATAATAGCTTTTGCAAAGATTTACTCAATTTAATACTAAGGTAGGCGCGGGTAATAAGGCCTGTCGGCTAATAAGGCCTAAATGATGAAAATACAATTTAAAATAGTCGGTGTCGGTCAAGGTCACACTAACAGGTCGCTAACTATCATAGATGGCGCCTGAAATCTGCCGCGATGTGTTTGGTCGCTAAGGGCGACCAGTGCGGTGTCATTCGTTAAGAGTAGTGGTCGTGTGGCTCGAATAATAAGAATTCGTCCAAATCAAATGTACGTATTTTCTGAAATATTACACTTATTAATATAATTCTGCGTTATAGTTTTTTATTATGTCATGGTTCTGCGATCTTTGATGTTTGAATAATATATCAAGGTCCGAAAAATGTTCTTTTCAGATTTCCTTTACACACGTTGTTGGAGGTAATTAAGGCCTACCAATAGAAGAATTGAAAAGACCTCAACCCCCAAAAGTAGAAGTGGTACTGAACAGAACCAGGCGAGTTGGTACTGTCATGTTTGTGAGGAGGAATGACTGACATGAGACAATGTTCTAAATGCATCAAGTGGTATCACGAGGAGTGCGTCGGTTTGTCAGCGGATGATACAGATCATTTTGAGTGTCCTGAGGGTTGTTAAACAAAGAGATTTGTTGTTATTTTCAAGACCTCAGCATGATCAATGCATGATTATCAATTATCGATCTCAATTACCAAATGTTAGGAGTCTATTTTTATTTCTTATGCATATTACAGTCATAGGCCTTATTATCCTACTATAGTATAATAAGGCCTACTGACAAGGTTTTCAAAAATGTTCAATCATGTTTTTATTTATGACACACGTTGCCATGTTCTGTTTATTTTTGACAGGACCTGATCTTAAGGTTTGATTAACATTAAAATTCGTTGATTTTGTTAAATAGTTTTCATTTTATTTCAAATCCCCCTTAGCTAGGCCTTATTACCCGCACCTACCTTACTATTTATTCCAGAAAGAATCTGAATACATGATTTGACCATGATTGGAAGCTTACTCAATTTATCATTCCTATTTTTTCCAGTGCAAGAATCTGAATACATGATTTGACCATGATTGGCAGCTTGCTCTTCAAGATGCTTCACAAGTCGAGCTGCAACTTCTAGGGAACGTTCAGAGCCCTCAGTCTCGTCCCAATGAACATGTATTTTTATTATCATTGAAACTATATATGAACTCCCAAGTTATGGAAATACCTACATGTTCAATTTATAATGAGCGACAGAGGTGGTCAGTTCTGGAAATACTAGAGCTTTCTTCAAAACAAAAAGGAATCACACAGATATCTTCTCCAGCAGAACATCTATAAATAGATCTTTAGATTGAGGTTCGAAATGCGAGTTAAAATACCTAAACTAGAAAACGTGATCATATATTTTTTCAATTTGTCCTGTATATTGTTGTTCGCACTGCTATGCATAGATTGCATTAATTTTGTTTATGATAGATTCAGTGAGTACTCATCGAGAATAAGTACCACTCTGTAGCGTATAGACCTAAGGCTCTGTACGTGTGACTATAGATGGCAGCGCCATACAGTGTGTGTCGCGATCTCTTGATCCTACCTTATTAGAGCTTTGCCACTAGATGGCTACAACGCATGACTAGAACTTCATGTTATACCCTGTGAATTTTGAAAATGTTACAATCCTCCTACCTGTAGTGGAACGACACAACGATGACATCTTCGTCCAAGAGATGATCAGGGGCATGGTCACTGAAGTCAGCTGACCCGCCAAGAAAGGCTCCTCCATAGATCCAAACCATCACTGGGAGATTGTTGGTCCGTTTAGGAGCCTGGAATAATATATTGTGCATTAAGTGGGGAAAGTTCAACTTTTCTCACGAGTGTGAAAGTTTGTGGCACGAGCCTGAAGGGCGAGTGATTCAAACACACGAGTGAGAAAAGAACTTTTCCCAAATGTTGCACACTATACTTTTTCTGCAACTGCACTTATTCAAAGAATCCAAAGTAATGTAAATAGTGGTATTCATTTTATAATGTTGCACTATGCCACATTGAATATTGTGACCAAAGAGTAGACGTCTCGCCCAGTTCCTCAAAGTATTTCAAAAAAGTACACTATCCGAAAAAGATTTTATTTCTGTATTTTTTTTAGATTCCATACATTTTTCGTGTATGCCAATTCATACTGTTTTCTTGAAATTTCCGTAAACAAATCCAACTTTCGTAGCTTTTTCTATTATCTCTGTCTCTGGCGGTGTTTTTATCAAAATCTTCACACCAATAATTGATAGTTTCGACAAAAAAATTCCTTAAGTTGAAAAATCTCGATTTTGAAGACCCTATATCTCTGTAATCATTCTTGCTAGACCCCAAGTGTGATGCATTGATCAAATCAGCTCACAATAAGGAATCCAAAAAATGCAATGAAAAACAGGGTGTCCCATAAGAAAAAGTATAACTTCGATACGTCACGCTTTTCTGAGTCTCCCTGTATGACGCAAAATAATATGAAAATGTGCTGCTCATGAACCTTTTTTTATGTTCTGGTTACCACGAAAAGAGATATTCTGTAATTTTCAGAGAACATCGTGAGAACCAAGGGAAATGAGGTAGGAATTGGTGTTCTTCTTAAATTTCTGGAGGTTATATGCCTCGGGGAACACCTCCCTTGGCAATGTGTTCCAGAGCCTCGCTGTTCGTTGGATGAACGAGTCTTTGGAAAGAGGTGTTCTGCAAGTCTCCAAAGTGACCACGAAGAGGTGCGAAGCCTCAACTCGACGGGTTAATCTCGCGGGGACTGCCAAGGAAGGAACAATTTTTGATATTTCAGAAGAGCATCGTCCATGAAAATATCTATGAAATTGAACCAGATCGCCAACTTTTCAACGGTGTTCCCGAAAAGTGAGTGAGTTTGTGAGCGGAGGCATCACCCACGAGACGAATTGCCCTTTTTTCGACAGAATCCAACAGTTTCAGGGTATGTTTGGGTGCTGCACTCCAAATATGGGAACAGTATTCCAGGACAGGTCGGATCTGTGCCTTATAGATCATAAGCAGCTGACTGGAAGTGAAATAGCTCCTGGCCCGACACAGAAAATCAAGTTTTCGGGACGAACTTTTAGCAATAGATCTCAGGTGATTTTCCCAATAAAGGTTATTGCTGATAGTAATCCCAAGCATCGAAATGGATGTCTTCAAAGGTATGGTTATTCCTGAAAAACTTATGTTGGGCACAGTGAGATCGGCTTTTCTAGAGAAAAGGCATATGCTTGTGTTTTGTTTGCATTGAAATCTACCAAGTTATTGGATCCCCATTCGAGAATTGTTGCCAAGTCCATGCATATTTATATTGTGTCATCATTTTTCCCTCGTTCGTTTCTGATTTGCCTGGCTGGTATTGGAGCCCTGGAAGAGAAGGCGGTGTGGAGGGTACTATCATCCGCGAAGCTGTGTACTGGACATGAAGTTGCTTCCAACAAATCGTTGATATGGAGTAGAAATAGTGTTGGTGCTAGAATTGATCCTTGCATTTATGATAAGAGAGTCAGATGAAACTCCGTCGACCACAACATGGAGAGACCTCTGTTTGAGAGAAAACTAGCTAGTAGAGCTGGGGAGGCAAGTCATAAGATGGAAGCTTGGCGAGGAGTCCGTGGTGCCAGACTCGATCGAATGCCTTGGAGATATCAAGAGCCACGGCTAAGGTTTCACCATCTTTTTCAATAGATTGCTGCCATGTGTGACGTAAGCGAGCAGGTCACCAGTTGATCTCTGATGACGGAAGCCATATTGGCCTATCGTTGATAATACCTGAATGTTCCAGGTATGTCATGAGCTCGATGTTGATAGCTTTCTCCATGATCTTTGAAATAATAGATAGCGGTGTAGTTGCTAGGTAGGGTATTTTTGACTTTTTTAGGAATTGGTTGTACTCTTGCAATTTTCCAGTTGGACGGGAACATCCCCAATCTGTAAGAGTAGTTGAACAACTTGCAGAGAACAGGTGTTAGTTCGGGAGCACATTTCTTGAAAATAATCGGTGGGATTCCGTCGGAGCCACAAGCTTTTGTTGGTGTTGAGACCCAATAAAATCTTCCTTATAGTACGTTGGCGAAAGGATCTCGGGCATTATGACTGTCAATTGGCGTTTTGTTTGAAGGTTGTTTTCCCGATGAATCCAGACCAGCACGAAAATGTTTGTTCATCTATCTCAAACAGCGAAGACGTCTTCTCACTTTCCCAATTCGATGACTCACCCTATATTTTTTCAGTGGGATATCATATTTCGTGTATCAGATGACGATAGAAATTTGCAGCCGTCTCTCCTACTATTAGGAAATATTTCTACCATAAAGGACACCACACGTTTTATAGGGAAATTTGGCCTCCTGTCGAATTGGCTGATTTGTTGATATGTTATAGTCCAGCGTAGCATCATGGTTAGAGCGTCAAAGTTCTATCCACGTTGGATTACCGGTAGTGGGTTCTAGTCCCACCACGACCGCAGAAATTTTTCTGATGGCCTGAGAAAGTGTTTGGGATCACGCGTTGAAAGGTAAGACCCCCGTCATTCCTTGCTCGCACAAGTCTCTTGAAGACTTCTGAGGGTTGCTCGTAAGGGGGCAACCGAATGAAGGATAAGAACAATTTTAAAACAAGGCATTCTGAACAAAATGTCCGAATACCAAACTGTTCTAAAGGATAGTTTTGGCGCTAGAGGCCGCTGAAGTCGCCATGTTGTTTTTTTTTCTCCTGAAAAATTTTTCAATTTGAGCTATTATTAAATTATTTTTTGATGGGATCAGTCACTACAAGGAGTTTTCTTCAATTTTTTTGCTGTTGGTCAAGGATTATACAGTGTGTTCCAGCAATTATGGGGAGATAAAATATGATACTATCCAATAATTCAATAAATAAGGATATCGTCACGTTTCGCATTTCAATTATGAAACACTTTTTCCAATAAAAACATTTATTATTATTATTATCATTATTAATTATTACTATCATTATCATTATTATTATTATAATCATTATTATTATTTAATGTCCACCTAGTATATAAAGAGGAGATATGCAACGTTAACTCGTTCTATAACAGTAGCAGATATTATCAGTAATATCAGTATTAAATTGCATCTTCACATGAATATTCCTTGTAACTTGGTCAAAAAATTCTGATTATACTTAGTATATTTTTTCAAATGAATGTCAATGTATTTCAGATATCACGCCCTCGAAAATCGTACTATTCTTTCAAAAATCGTAATGTTTTTTTTTGCAATTGCATTACCTGGTTGGTCCCAGCACTGGGACCAAACGCCCCATAAGTCGAAACTTGTGCGGGGTAAGGTAAGCATACAAACATTCATGGCCTAACTAGGATTCGAACCTATGTCTCGGTGGGAGTCCCCATACGAACTCAGCGCATTCACGCTCTCGACCACCGAGCCGTTGTTTGTGAACTTTGTTACTTGTGTTGATTTATTGATGCTATATTTATACGAACTGTTTTAGGAGGGAAAATAAAAAATAACATTCCTTCTCGAACCTTGACAAATAGCAGATTAATACTCACATTAGTATTGAATATTAAAATATATTTTTGATTCGAATTTCATTCAGCCATTGGAACGGGTTGATGTTGATATCTTCGTGTATCTTCTCGTTGAACTTGGAATTCGAATTAACTTATTTTGTAATTGAAATAGGACATTTCTCGAATTCTCATTTCTCGATATCCTTTCCTATAAAATTAATGAACATCATCATTGTCTTGAACAATATAAAAGCTGGAACACATTGTATAATTGTTGGCCAGTAGCAACAATATTGATGAAAACTTCTAGTAGTGACTTATCCTATCAAAATAAAACATGATAATGTCTCAAATAGCATTATCCATCAGAAAAGAAATCAAACTTGAGACTTCAGCGGCCTCTAGCGTCATAACTAGCCATCAGAACGGTTAGGTATTCGGACATTTTGTTCAGAATGTCTGGAACCATAACATAGGTATAAAAAATTCAGCCAATTCGACAGGAGGCCAATTTTCCCTATGAAACGTGCGGCGTCCTTTCAAGAAAAGAAAATATGGGGTTTTCAGCTATCTGTTCGCTGAAGATACTCACCTTGGTGGTGTAGACTTTCAGGTACAAGCAGTCTTCGCTTCCAGTAACAGGATCACTGCCTTGGACGCATTCAGACATCTTTTCGCTGACATCGATTACACCGGTCCAGTTTTTCTTGGGTTGTGGAGGCTACAAATTGATATTTGATTACTTATTACTTCCTCAAAGGATACTGCTTTGACTCCGAAGGAAATGAAAGTGATTATACAAAGTGTTATTCTTAAATGTCATATACAGGGTAGGTATACATTGTATACAGGGTGTAACATAATTACGTTTGAAAATTCAAGTGACGTATTCCTGAGGCAATTTTAAGAAATGAAGTCTATATGAACTTTGGTCCGGATATGCTTTATCTCGTAGATACAATAAGATGTGTTCTAGTTGGAAATGGTCTGGGAATAAGATTTTTTTTCATGAAATGTATCAAAGGTTCACTGTCAAAAATGTTAGTGCAATTCGAAATAAATGATGATGAAAATTATTACGAAATTATGATTTCCCACGTCAAAAAACTCAGCGTACCAAATTTCGTGCACAGATGACTTATTTTTTGCAAAATTTATTTCCAAAAAGCGAACAAAAAAGTTCAATTTCAATACCCCGTATCTCTGGAACGAAGAGCATATCACTGATACGAATTATTTTTTTGGAAGTTCCAAGCTCATCAAGATCAAAGTTTATATACAAGGATACTTCTCCTATATAATTCAATTTTCATTTCAATACTGAACAACTTTATATGAACATATGTCCTGAAAGTCTTTTGAGATACAGGGTGATGAAGTTCTGAAAAATATTCAGTTTCTTGATAATAACTGAGACAATATTATATACATCTTTATGAAATGAAATTGTTTATATTTTACTCAAAAGTGAGCAACTACGAAAAATTTTCAAATTTCGTACAATGCTATGAAAGGCTATTTAATTATGTACAGAAAAATTCCTCTTGTTGATACTCGATAGAACTTTGCGTTTTAGAGAAAAAACGGAAGAACCAGACCAGACCTGAAATTTTGATGTCTGCTGAGTGCTCCATTCAGAACATCCATTGCCGAATAACCACAGTATGTAACATTTTGATATTTTGTCACCGAAAAAGTCACATAGCAGACTGAATTTTGCGAAGGGAAGTGGCGTACTATTTTTTTTTTTTTCGTTTTTTGTTCAATTTTTGGGATAGAATTTTTAGTTAATTAGAAGAATTAGGAAAAATCTGATATCATGGGAATATTCCTTGGGCTGTATCATATCGCTGTGCTGATTATATGTACTTATTTCAAAAGCACCTTGTATATATCCATTTTTTTATGTTCATAATTCAACTGAGAATATTCCTTCTGAACACTGTATATCAATTATTTATTTACAAAATAGTCTGCTTCAGATTTCTGATACTATAAACCACATACTGAAACAGTGAAAATTAGTCTTTCGAAGGCTGGAAAACTATCAATAACAACAAAAGTGACAAATGACATTTCTTACGAATTTTGCTCGTCTAATACGAAACTTTGAGGAATCGCCACGTTCATCTTGAATTATTAATTCCTATACGTCATTATGTTATGTCGTACCTTACATAAAAATTATGAAAGTTTATTGTTAGCGAAGAAGTTCAAATCACCTCGTAGATAGATTGATCGCTATAAGGAATGCCATATCACAAGCCGACGATTCATCGGATTCGTCATAAAAATGTATCACCTAGTTGAAGAGAACACTTATTCACTGTCATCAGAACGAATCAGTTGACAATGTGTGTTCCACAAACGGTCATCGTTTTGTACAAAATATTCTGAGTGAATGAATGTGAAAATGTGAGTGTGTGGAAACTGTGGAGAGTGTAGGAAATGTGGACAGTACGAAGGCGCTGAAGGGCCACCTATACTTTTTTTTTTCGAATCCCGACTTTAAAGTCGGGGGTCCGACTTTAAAGTCGGGGGTCCGAGATTAAAGTCGGGGGTCCGACTTTAAAGTCGGGGGTCCGAGATTGAAGTCGGGGGTCCGACTTTAAAGTCGGGGGTCCGAGATTAAAGTCGGGGGTCCGACTTTAAAGTCGGGGGTCCGAGATTAAAGTCGGGGGTCCGACTTTAAAGTCGGGGGTCCGAGATTAAAGTCGGGGGTCCGAGATTAAAGTCGGGGGTCCGACTTTAAAGTCGGGGGTCCGAGATTAAAGTCGGGGGTCCGACTTTAAAGTCGGGGGTCCGAGATTAAAGTCGGGGGTCCGACTTTAAAGTCGGGGGTCCGAGATTAAAGTCGGGGGGTCCGACTTTAAAGTCGGGGGTCCGAGATTAAAGTCGGGGGTCCGACTTTAAAGTCGGGGGTCCGAGATTAAAGTCGGGGGTCCGACTTTAAAGTCGGGGGTCCGAGATTGAAGTCGGGGGTCCGACTTTAAAGTCGGGGGTCCGAGATTAAAGTCGGGGGTCCGACTTTAAAGTCGGGGGTCCGAGATTAAAGTCGGGGGTCCGACTTTAAAGTCGGGGGTCCGAGATTAAAGTCGGGGGTCCGAGATTAAAGTCGGGGGTCCGACTTTAAAGTCGGGGGTCCGAGATTAAAGTCGGGGGTCCGACTTTAAAGTCGGGGGTCCGAGATTAAAGTCGGGGGTCCGACTTTAAAGTCGGGGGGTCCGAGATTAAAGTCGGGGGTCCGACTTTAAAGTCGGGGGTCCGACTTTAAAGTCGGGGGTCCGAGATTAAAGTCGGGGGTCCGACTTTGAAGTCGGGGGTCCGAGATTAAAGTCGGGGGTCCGACTTTAAAGTCGGGGGTCCGAGATTAAAGTCGGGGGTCCGAGATTAAAGTCGGGGGTCCGACTTTAAAGTCGGGGGTCCGAGATTAAAGTCGGGGGTCCGACTTTAAAGTCGGGGGTCCGAGATTAAAGTCGGGGGTCCGACTTTAAAGTCGGGGGTCCGAGATTAAAGTCGGGGGTCCGACTTTAAAGTCGGGGGTCCGAGATTAAAGTCGGGGGTCCGACTTTAAAGTCGGGGGTCACTTTTGTTTAATTCGGATATCCTTAATATCGACAAAATATCAATTTAACATATACAGGGTGATCCACGGTGGATGGCCTATTAGAAGTAATCTGGAGAACGAAAAGACAGAACATTCTGAAAATTGGGATCCTTTGATAATTGAACATTCTCTATCCGTTTAAAATATGTTCATCGATACAGTGTTGCCACTTCTATTAGAAACAACCAGTTATTTCTAATGGAATACCCTGTATTTTATTGCATTTTCAGATTCTTCCTGAAGAGCTGATTTCATCAATGTCAAAAATACAGGGTGCTTCAAGATTCAGAATTCTGATCACCCTGTATCTGTTCCAATTAAATGTCAGTAGACAGTGAATCGAAAGTTAAGATAGGGACATGTGAACCGTTTTGATCGATAATGAATAGTTTCGACACAAAAAAATCTTAACATTGAAAAATCCTGATTTTGAACACCCTATATCTCTGTAATCATTCCTGCTAGAACCCAAGTGTGATGCATTGATGAAATCAGCTGTTCAGGAAGAATCTGAAAATGTAATAAAATACAGGGTGTTCCATTTGAAATAAAAAAGTTGCTAACTGTTTCTGATAGAAGTAGCAACACTGTCTCGATGAAAGTATTTTAGACGAATAGAGAATGTTCATTTATCGGAGCATCCTAATTTTCAGAATGTTCTGTCTTTTAGTTCTCCAGATACTTCTAATATGCCATCCACCGTGAATCACCCTGTATAATTAGTTAATTCATAATGAAAACTGCGCATTGAAAACTTGATTCTCAACGTTTCCATAAGGCTTTGAAATTTGGCTATTTATTGAAGGAGATTATGCAAATAGTCCGGAAGGGTTAACTCATACCTACAAATGTAATCATATATCATTGAACTCATCTTTCTGAGCTCTACCCAAGGACGGAATGACATTCAGGGTAGTTCATTTGTGAAAATATATGTTTTGTATTGTAATCTTTTTGCACCCTTGAACAAACAAATGAGATTCTCAGCTATTAAGTGGAATATAAACAATCACCCTATACGTACGATAATGATCGTACAGGTGTGATCCAATATTTGACATTCAGTGTACATCCAAAAAGGAGGATTTTGACTGATCCTTATGTGATGATTATCCAATGGATGTAAAATTATTGTTTGTACATAAATGTACAGGGTGTTTCTCGAGTACGTGTAGAAAATTCAGGAGCATGTTGCTGACGTCAAACTGATGAGTAACAATGGAAATTATTTATTTCTGTTCATATATTTAACGAATATAAACTAGCTCCTAACTTCAGTTCTGAACTCCCGACTTTAATCTCGGACCCCCGACTTTAATCTCGGACCCCCGACTTTAAAGTCGGACCCCCGACTTTAATCTCGGACCCCCGACTTTAAAGTCGGACCCCCGACTTTAATCTCGGACCCCCGACTTTAATCTCGGACCCCCGACTTTAAAGTCGGACCCCCGACTTTAATCTCGGACCCCCGACTTTAAAGTCGGACCCCCGACTTTAATCTCGGACCCCCGACTTTAAAGTCGGACCCCCCGACTTTAATCTCGGACCCCCGACTTTAATCTCGGACCCCCGACTTTAAAGTCGGACCCCCGACTTTAATCTCGGACCCCCGACTTTAAAGTCGGACCCCCGACTTTAATCTCGGACCCCCGACTTTAATCTCGGACCCCCGACTTTAAAGTCGGACCCCCCGACTTTAATCTCGGACCCCCGACTTTAAAGTCGGACCCCCGACTTTAAAGTCGGACCCCCGACTTTAATCTCGGACCCCCGACTTTAAAGTCGGGGGGTCCGACTTTAAAGTCGGGATTCGAAAAAAAAAAGTATAGGTGGCCCTTCAGCGCCTTCGTAGTACAGTGTTGAAAATGTGGAGCGTGGAAAATATGGGAATAATAAGTGTGATTATGTTTCAATCTTCAATTTCTCGAGTAAGAATCTATTATTATTATTATTATTATTATTATTACTAGTCGTGTATTAGTTCCTTTCAATTATGTTGTATGGGTAAATTATTATGTTATGAAAGTTGTTTCGTTTATTATAAGTAAGTATAGTTATAAGGTAGTATACCTAATAAGTGTAATACTTTTCTTTTTCGTACGTGTTTGGTAGGT